GTCGTTTATTTCGAAATATAATATCGAATCGCTTGCTGTTACCCGTCGCGTTCGCATGCGGATTTGCCACGGATTATAATTTCGAAATTATTACTGTTCCACGTTAATCGGTTGGAAACGATGGTTATTTTAAGTGCTTGCACGGTTCGGCACTTATGGCACGTTAAAACATAACACGATAATAGGCGCTAAAATACGCACTGACAAAACCGTATAGTAAGTATATAAAAAAAAAATCGAAAATATGCGTTCAATATATATTAATAGGTATTCATTTATTATTCTACATTATCCAAGTAGATCGCAGTAAAATTGACCGTGGACAATATTAAACGTATTATACATTATAACATAACTATATTATCGGCCGCGAACGGTCCGAACTACGCGTTTACCACGTAACACAACATTTCCCAACGATAATCATTTGGAAAATATCTAATTATGATTTTGAATTAAATATTCATCCAAAATTATTCAAATGTTTAAACATTCAATTTTTTTTTAAACATAATATTATAATATATTTTATATTGTTGTGAAAAGAAACATCGTATTCTACTGAGTACAATATACAGTAAATTCTGCGGTAGGTATAAATATTTAATAATTTCGGGTTAACAAATTATAAAATTTTAATCAAATTAATTACGCACTTTGTAATGCTTTTGACGTCCGTTCCGTTCACGATAATTACGGCTTTTTCGACAATTATAAGCCTACTCCGCGATTTTCGGGGAAAGCCGGGAAGGTCAGTCTCACTGGCGCCCGAAAATCGTCCTATCGATTTCGGACCAACATAATTTTTATGTACCCGATTTGTATCCATTTGTATTCCATTTAAAAAAATTGTAATCCCTTTTAATTTCCTGTAAAACAGCATTTTAAAAGCGGGTACTGTGAAGACCGTTTCACTGGCATCCTTTAAAAAAAATCATTCTATCGACTTCAGACCCGATATTATACCTATATTTATTACATTTTTTGGTTTTCTCTGTTTTTTTTCGGTTTTAAAATTTATTGAGAAAACTCCGGAGAAAATCGATAAACGACCTTTTTAAACGACCTCCCCAGTGAAAATTTCCAAAATGGGTAAAATTTACGACCAAAAATTAAATAAAATTAATATAAATAATAATCTAAACATAAGTAAAACTGAAATTTAAACCATGTATTAACAACATAATCCGGAACCACATTCAGAATTTTAAAACTTTTTATTAGCAATAATACTATTCATAAATAACAGGAGATATATTTCTATCAGAAAAAAACTGGGCAATAGGCCGCTACGAAAGCAAATGTTTCAGTTATACAATTATAAACAGTTGATTAATCAAAATAAAAATGTTAACGAAATAGCTCACCTTAAACCAAACGACCACTGGTCGTTATATCTATTATATCTTACTACAAAAGACAATTATAATGATGAACCTAAATATTCTAATATCTTAGAAAATAATCTTAGAAAATACAAAATAATTTTATGTAGAAAATAAAATCATAAACTTAGCATTGCATAAAATATGTTCAGTATTGGACAATAAAAAATGAGACTAGTTTCCAATATGATTAAATTTATAATTCAAAATACCTCTACAAAAATTAGAATACTCTCTTTACCTGAAAGAAAAAAATAATAACTTTTTTAAAAACGATGAAAATATACTCTAGTAATGACAGTCCAAAAATTTAAAATAATGAACTATAAGACCTTTTTCATCTCGCTTTCATTTATTCTTTATCCTAAATTTTTTTTTTATACAAATGTATAAATACCTACTCTAATATTTAAAGTTGCTTGAAAACAAAATTTAATTTTACATAATCTTTATGTGAATACTGAAAACACAAAAGGGGGAAAAAAATAAATACATATCATCAAATTGATATTAATAACATAATTCAAATGGTAGTTTGCAAAAAAAAAAAATATATAAAACAAAAATCGAAAAAATCAATAAAAAATTTAAGAAAGAAAATATTAAACCTCATTTAACACAAATAAACATAGAAGCAGTTGCGTATCCAGGGAGGGAACAGGGGCCATACCTCGCATAATGGCCGTATTTGCTATTTAAAAAAAAAAAAAATGTATATTCTTTCTTCGTATTCATGAACGCCTACTAAAATATGACATACCACAGAGTATTCTGTGCTTATACCACTAATCACCATCACTGTTATCACGTTACGGTAAAGTTCCAGAGTTCAGATGGCGCTAGACAAAGGTTCCACAGCTAATTGGCGACAGAGTTTAACGGTCTCCGTATCACAATTTGTTATTTAAATTCAGTATATAATTAAATAAATATTTAAATAAAGTAACTAAGATTGTTTCTAAAATAGACGTCGATATAAAAATACCCTGAGTTTGTTGCAAACAAAATAAAAGAGTTATTGTGAACATTAATAAGAAGAAGATTATTACAAAATATCCATATTTATTCCATTTCTTGACCAAATTATATGTGAATTAAAGTCACGATTTATTTAAAGGTTAAGATAAATTATTCCACTAGAAGGGTTAATTCCATCACATTTCAATAAATATGATAACATGATAACGTAACTGGTTTAAAGGCCGCGAAAATGTATGAAAATGATTTTCCATTAAATGCAATTAGTAATCAAAGGTTGAATTATTTATAAGGCAAAATTAATGAATTAATGATGGTCAAAATAGCACAGCGAATATACCTCAAACCGCTATTGAGACTTTATCTTACAGTACAGATATTGTGCCTGATATAAAATTACTATTACAAAGATATGCAGCTCTTCCTATTACAATAGCTACACCAAAACGTACTTTTTTTACCTTAAAACGACTGAAAATAGATAAAATGGATTACGTTTATAAAACATAAATAAAAACGAGTTCATTTCAGAAAATAAAATCATTGAGGATTTTGCAAAAAAAGCACCAAGAAATTTGCAACTCGCAAATTGGTCAAAATAATTTTATACAACTGTTACTATTTTATACACTTTACTTATAATTTTTTTTTCTCTAAAATATCTGTTTTTATTATTAAAATACTATTAATTATTATGTACATATGTGCTAATTTAATATTTTTAGTTAGTCATTACTAAATAAAAATATAAATAAATTATTTGCATTAAAAATAATGTTGGTTGATTTTTTTTTTTTTTGGTAATGTTATTGGAAAAATTTTAGATAGTGTGTGCTGCCCCCTCCCCCTAAAAAAAATTCTGGATTCGCCAGTGCACAAAAGGAAAATAAAAAAAAGAGCTGATACTGGGAATGGGAGCGGCCAGTGTTATAGATGAAAAGTTGGGAAGGTAAGATACATAAGGTTATTTCATTTATATCTGTAAGCAACGATAAACCATTGCTTGACTCTAGACGATTCCGAGCGCAGTTCAGTAATACATAAATCGCTGTTAGGTAGGGATTGGTCAGACATAATTAATCCACAGTGGGGGAGTCATATTGTTGGTAATAATCAAATGGAAGTTTTAGTCGTGAAAGATCATTCAGTTGAGGAATTTAAAGTTAAATATCTTAAAGTATTTTTTAATAATGTTGAGCTAACAAAAATATTTAAGGCTTTTATTGTGTTGAAGAAAATGCGGTACCGGTGTTTCATAGAGCGTATGATGTTCCCTATACAATTAGGTTGTTAAAGAGTTGCACGCTTTAGAAAGTCAAGGTATCATTACAAAAGTTCCACATAGCCAATAGGCATCTTCAATTGTGTGTGTACCCCGTAAGAATGGGAAAATCAGGTTATACGTAGATTTAAAAGTCACCTTAAATAGATACGTAAAAATTGATCATTACCCTCTTCCTAAGGTTGAAGATATTTTTAATTCGTTATCAGGTTATTACACATAATGATGGTATAGATGGTTGAGCATTTACGACCCGCTGATACCTAGAAAAAGTGCGAAAGGCATCTAACAGGTATCAATCTTAGATGATTTAAAGTAGAATACCATATGTTCTTAAATAATGTTAATTAAGTTTAAGGAAAAATATATTATAAACCATCTTGTTAAAATTTTATTGTAGTATTGTTAATTGATTATGTGATTATGAACTAGGATTAAGTTGTCTTTTTTTTAAAAAAAAAAAGGGTAATGTTATGTAAGTGGCAGTCTTGGCTCCCTGTTATCATACCTTCTTGGGGGTTCATGAGCCCCTTAGTTATAGTTATATAGTATAAGTGTACATTATAATAACGTATGTTATATTATATTATGAGAGGATATAATTGTATTATACATATATTGTATCGATGAAATAGTCGGGGAGTCAGTCGTTCGACTGCTATAAAACTGTCGTTTTGACGACCAATTATATATTTTGACTCGTGTTAAAAATGATAGTAGCTCAAAAATCCTTAGAACTGTTTTTTGTACTCTTTTATAAAATTAAACCCCCACACAACCGAATGAAAAACAACGTTCGATCGAAACAACCTGTACGAGCCCAACAATACCACACAAAGGAATTTTTCTTTTAAAAAATATGTTACAGTTGAAAATCATTTTTAAAGAAAAATTGTTCTTAGAAAAAAAATGTTAAACAGAAATTTGAGCGTATTAATTTTGTTTTTTTTTATGAGCGTTTTGAATTCAAATTTTGATCACTGTTGTAAAAATCACTATCTCTAGCGTACTATTTACTACTGCTACTAATACACTAATATTGTTTGGGTATTTCATTGAACTAACCATTGTCTATAATAAAATAGTTAAGTATTCTAAAATGTTGAACAATAATTTTTTAACGAAGGGTACTGGGTAGCTTAAAAAGGTATAAAACGTGTCTAAATACAAACGTATTCACTGTATAAAATATAAAATGCCACACTATTTTCACATAAATTATATTCGCATGATCCGTTTCCGTGGTTATGCTTTATTATATAGCCTTTATAAAAATAACAAACCACATTAATAGTTAACTTTAAAATATTTTACCATGTATTTATGCTAAAATCAAATGTTGGATAATTTGAATAATGAACATTAAAATATTGTTTATGCTCATATTACTACAACCGGTCCGTGAATCTATAAGCAAATTGAATGTGTTGCCAAATGTTTCGATGAATATCACGAAATTTGTATCTAACGGCAAAGATTACGATACTAAAAAATTTCCATATTTAGTATTTATTAGTTTCCAAGATTTAAAGGTTAACAAAAGTGGTGCGTGTACAGGTTCACTGTTAAGCAAATATTTCATTTTGACCGCCGCTCACTGCACTATAGAGTACGAGGACAGAATATCTATAATTAAAGTATTACCTATATGATAATTTTTGGCATATTAAAATTTCCTAATTTTAAAATAATATATTCAATGAATTTAAACCATTAGGTATATTACCTGCAATATGATTATTTGAATTCCGGTCAGTCATATCAATGCGAGAAGGCATATACACATCCAGACTATGTCACTGATAAAGATTCAGATTTAGGTTTATTGAAAGTAAGGTGCTTACCTATTAATTTTATGTAATAATTAAACATGGTCATAATTTATAGATTTTGTATTTTAAACAGTTGATAATGCTTATGAATCGATCAATGTCGTAGCAAGGTAATTGGGAAGGATATATAGAATATCTTAGTTTAATATACTATATTTATGTAACGATAAATTATTGTTGACGAAAACTATTCTTACCAGATTAGTTGTCTTTTTCTTTATTGCCAAGAGAAATTTGGAAATCGACAAAAATCAAACAACAAAGAATACTTCCGTGAACTGCAATATTTTTTCCATCATACTTTTTAGTAATCAATAGTTGTTATTTTTTTCTTATTTTAGTTTCTGAACGTAGCGCAAAATGTATTCTCCAATAAAAAAAAATGGCACGAAGTCTCTTTTATTTATTTCAAATCTAAAAGGCACATCTAGAATTAATTTTTTTATTATCCCAGTGGTTTTTATGAAAGTTGGAAAAAAATCTGAAAAAAATGAATAAGATATTTAATGGAAAACGTTAGTGTTCATTCCATACTATTTCTTAACATTCTGAATTGTTTTCATTTTTTTTTTTTTAAATAAAATTTGGTTTTGTTTTGTGCAATAGTCTTTTTCGATTTTCCGTGATTTTTTTTTATAGTTGAGAAAAATGTTTATGACTCTTAATGTCGTTTCATTATTTCTGATTTTGGGTTTGATGTATAACTTCTGTACAAAGGGTACGAAAAAAATTATCACGGCCGGCTATCACAAAAGTTTTTTACTAAAGATTTTAATTCCTTAATTCTCATTAACTCTTATTTATCAGCTATTTACACACAAACACAGACGTGGACTGACTGGGGTGCTAGATTCTTACACCATTTCATGTTCCGAAAATGTGTTTGCCCCAATCCGTATGAATCCGAATATTTAATATTAATATGTATTTTCAATAAGAAAGTTATCATTTTTTTATAGTCTAATAAAAATGTTTCATAGATATATCAATAATAAATAGATTATTTTGCATTATATAATATGCATTTTCTAGACAATGCGTTATTTTCAAAATATTCCGTGACTATTCGTCACTATCGATATTTTTTCTTTTAGTTTAAATGACAATAATGTTGAAATTTATTTTTATTAACATTTTTATATTATTGTTAAACAATTTATAAAATAGTATACAGTTTTCAATTTAAATTTGTTAAAATATATAAGACCGAACTTGCTTCTTAGTCGGTTTTCGTTTGTACTGATTTTTTGATTTTCCTAAGAATTTTCGCAATAGACAAAGCAACACTATCAACCGAACTCTTCTCGGAATCTTTTTTTGTTAGCAATGATTAATCGTTGCATACAGATGCATATTAATTTACCTTCTACTATCTAAAAACTTTTAGACTTGTGGTTATTTGTAGAAAATTCATTTTCAGTTTTTTGCAAATACGCATGTGTATACAACAATCTAAGGCATAATTGTAATTTAGCTACCGAGCGATTTTTTCGATTTATTTTTTTTAAACATTAGGGAAATTAATGTTTTAAAAATGATGAAGAAATGAAAATTGGGGCTGTTATTCAATAATTTAAAAGTTAAAGTCATTTAATGATAGTCGATTTTACGATTATGGTTAAATGACATACATACGAGTATATATATACATAATAAACAAATGATTATTAAATTAATTTATTAGATGTTTTCTGGGTTATCAAATATTATTTTCTGATGTTACCTACACGACGTGGTTTTGCATAACAAATCGAGAGTTATTTTTTATTAAAACAGTCTGAGCGAGCGCAGCGATCTAGTGACACCGCTAGGTTTCTAGGCACACCCAAAATACTTTTTCACTTTATCTTATTACCTACCAGACGGGTGAAGCTGGGTAAGTTAATCATTTTTTTCAACTAGTTAAAGTTAAGTTAGTTTAATATAAAATCTAACTAAGATAGAATATAAGTTAGTTTTTAAAATTTTCCAAATTTTTAACTTAAAAGTTAGGTGAAAATATTAACTTAAGTTAGAGGTCAGTTTTTTTTTTTTTTAAATATAAATTGAAAAACCAGCTCAAATGTAAAGTATTTACGTAAATTAATTATTAAGTAGGTAAATTATTGGTGATGATTGAAAAATTTAAATTAAACTGGTCAAATGTTTCAAGTAGGTAGGTTCAAATAACTTTAATTTCTTGAAAATGAATTGGAATATGAGTTATTAGACAATAGAAAGTTTATCAAAATAACAAATATACAAACAGTGTTACACTATATTTGTCTACATTGACACAATAATAATAATATAAATATAAACAAATAAACATTCATGATAGTATGAACTATGAATGTATGATACATAATAATATAATATAGCATAATATTACCTATATTGCACATATTGGTTATATCACATAGTTTTATTATAAACATAGGCCACGAACATAATATTATAATAGGCTATAGGCTATATGTCTATAATGCGTCGTAGTTACGGTGTATTACCAATCACCAAAAGCCACTGAGATAGAAAAAAATATAATATAGAATATATTGATGTTATATAAAGTGTGTCTGCTGCGGCTATTTGTCAAGACGACAATATTTACATCATGCAAAATTGATTATGAGTCATAAATTAAAATCACTTGGTTTTATACGTTTTATATACTGATTACTGTTACTGTATAAAAGTATTCATATTTTGTTTAAATTAATTAAGGTGATGTTTAATCCGCCAAAGGGCAGTAAATACATAATAACGTGACAATATAGACAGAACAAACTATAATAAAATATTGTTGCAAATATTATGTGACATAGCGCATTGAAGGGTTAAATTGGCTCTTCACGTTTATAGTTTCAGTTATATTTTAAACCACTATGCAATTTTATAATAAATAATTATAATATACATACAGAGTAATCAAGGTAAGTGTTTACATTTCTCAGACATTGTTTTTTAGAACGTTTACGATTTGCCATAAGGTCAATCAATCAATTTTATATTCCTGTTATTTTTTGGGGTCAATCCATTACCTACTATTGATTTTTAAATACCAACCTACATTAAAAATATGACAAGTATTTGAGTGGGGGGGGGCTGAGATATATTTGCAAATCACATTTTATGTTTGTTGAACTTATGAGGGTTTCTAAATTTAAAATTTTTTGAACATATTCGTGTAGATAATAGATAATATTATGATTGCGGATTCAAGGCCAACAGATGAAAACATCACCTGTGTTTCTCAGCTTCTTCACACCTAAAATATTTGAATAATTGAATACGTGTGTTAAATAAAAGTATTTTAATATTTGTAATGCCTTACAAATTTGAACAAATGTTTTTATTTTTCGGAATGTGGTAAAAGCTATTAATACTTAATTATTCTTAATTTAGTTTTTAGTACCTTATAATAGTTAAATTACTCCCCCCCCTTTCATTTTTTTGGTTCACTTTTTAACCTAATTTTTTCTTCTTATTTATATCATTATATTAGCCATATAATCTACTTTAATTGTTTTGGAAAACTTGGCTAAGATCGAAAATGACCTAGGATCATTTAATGAGTTCGCATTGCTTATTATTTATAAATTAATTGCATTAAATGCTGATGATATTATTTATTGATTTGCAGATGTTAACAAAGAAATATAAATCATATTTTCTAAATAAAAGTGTGCTTTGTTCTATCAAATGTCTTGAATGTCTTGAAATGTTTTTTTTTTGAGATAGGGTTTACCTCCCTTAATATCGCTTCTTTTAACCTGTATACGTTTTACGTTCTTCTTCTCGTGTCGATTTTTATATTCCCTTCCCTTCCCAATAAGCAGCAATTTGTACTGCCTTATCTGAAATATCGGTTATCGTTATAAAATCCTCTTTTCTGCACTTAATTTGTAGTAGTGGACACGCAACCAGATGGTCCACGTCCTGCTACACACCGCATTCGCATTTTCCATCCTCTTTTATTCCCCATGTTTTCATATTATCCGCTGTCCTTTTAGTTTCAGTTCACAAACTATTTAGTGTCTTCCATGTTGACCATGGTAGATGACTTCCAGGTGGTAAACTTTCTTTCGGGTTCTTTTATAACTCTGAGTTATGCCCTTTCATTTATTTTTTCCATAAGTCTATTCTTGTTGTATCAGGCGTTTGTGATAGGCTGATTTTTTTCGGGACTTCTTGTTTTGTTTTCTCTATCCTTGATGGACCACCTCCAGCCTTATGTTAGGAGGTGCTATCCCACATAGTATTTGTACTTTCTAAACTGAGATTGGTCTCAAGCATCCTGTAATGAGTCTATTAGTTACATTTAGGGCTACATCTACCTTCTTGGCATGTGCTGTTTTTTTTTTTTTTTGGCACAAGTATATTCACCCGTCAAATTGCATAATGATAGGGCCTTCGTTCTTAAGACATGAAGGTCTGCGCCCACATTGAGAACCAACCAGTTTCTAAAGTAAAAAGTTTTTTGCTCCTATTTATTTTTTTCTATTTTCACAATGATTTCTTTATGTCAGGGCTCTATCAAGTTTAATGCCTAGGTATTTTAGTTTATCGCAGTGCTTTAATTCTGTGTCTTGACGATTAATTTTAAATTTCCGCTTAGCGTCTCTATTTTGTAAGTGGAAAGCAGTTATTTATGTTTTTACAGGATTCAGTTTGAGATAGTTGTTATTTTAATATAACTTCATAGTATTAAGCCTAATATTCAGACTCTCTTCTACCCTCTAAAATGTTTTGCCCTGAGTTATAATATCGAGGTTATCAGTGTATATAAAGTGTTTCATTTGGTCTCCAATTGGCTGGTCATAAGTGATCATTGGTGCTAGTGAACTTCCTTGAAATAATTCATTATTTTGTTCTCTCAATCTGTTTTTTTTTTTGTTTTGTTTTGCAGTGATACATATAAGTCTATTCTTTAGTAATAGACCAATGATTTTGTGAATTTCACATCTTCTATTAGCTCATATATTTTCTTTAGCAGCAATTTATTATTAACTGTATCGTATGCAACGTTAAAGTTGATTAAAGTCGTAGCTGTTATTACCTTGTTCTCATAGCCTTTCTCTATTTTTTTAACAAGGTTAAGTATTTGCCCCGTGCATGGCTTACCAGTCCTAAAGCCAGATTATTCCTGTTAATCTTGTGGCTTATACTATTCAGTATCATTCTCTCAACAATTTTAAATGTATGACTTATGCTAATAGTGACACAGGTCTAAGATTACATGCATCTGTAGGGGCTTTTCCAGGATTCAATAATGATACATCATTTAATTTTAGCCGTTCTGTCGGAATACTGTTGGTTTAGATACAGTTATTGAACATGTTTATTAGCCATTCTTTAGGTATGGAGCCTAGTTGATTAATCTGTTCCGTCATGATACCGTCGATCTCTGCTACTTTCCTGTTTATTATTCCGATCGCCTTATTCAACTCATTTATTTCGAACAGTTCGTTGAAGTCATTTGTGTTATTATTTATATCCATTTTAGATTTAAGCTTAGTTTTCTTTCCATTTATTTTGCCATTCATTAATAATTTGTATGCAATTTAATCAAATTTAATTAAACGTGTTGCGTTAAAAATTTTATATGGAAACTGTAGTATTCTCAAATCTTTTAAACCAGTCTGTGTTCAAATCAATGTTAACAACCCCATATTACATTATTTTTTGGTTTATTTTATTAATATTATTATCTAACTATAATATGATATAAAATTTTGTTTACAAAGTTAAAAGACCCAATAAATAAAGCTCATACATTTGCAAGAATTGGCGGCTACCCTGGAGACTTTATTAAAGGATTAAGTTGCACAATCATTGGATTTGGTTTGACAGGTAAAAAAGGAATTCCGGAAAAGATGTATCGAGGACAAATGGCTGATGTTACAGTCTATTATAACGATGATAAACATTGTTTCGAAGGTATTCCAAAAAAACCGTGAGTAATAATGTTTTTATAAAACACAAATCACGCATCACTACTTTATAGTGATGAATATATTTCATTTTCATTAACCATGTATCTTAAGAGGACGTTATTACCTTATCTGCTGTTAAAAACGTAGTATCCACGACAAACGTCGTGTTATTGACAGAAGCTATAGTTGTACCTATGGAAAACCATGCTAATTTGTGTTAAACCATCGGCAAGTTTTTCAACAGGTTTTTATAGTTTTTAGAGATAAAAAAAATAGGGAAAATGTACGAATTATATTTCTTAAATTTTAAGATATTTTGTTCATGTGCATAATTTTTAACCAGCGATTTTGCTTCAACATATAATGATAACAATTTTCTGAAAAATAAAATTTCACTTAAGAGATACTTTAGAGAGGTCATTTTTCAATTTTCTCTGGGGTTTCCTCAGCAAATGTGAAAAACCGGGATAAAACATGGGAAAATCAGAAAAATTTAGGAAAACTGAGAAAATCGCTACAACATCAAACAAATATTGTAAAAGAAAATACATAAAATATATTTAATTATTTTACTATTATTAGTTAAATATTATTGACAAAGCGTCACCATCAACTGAACTCCGCTCTGAATTGTTTTTTCGTAAGCAATGGTTTATTTTTGTTTACAGGTATACATAAAATGATCTATAACAGTGTCTACACCCGTCCCCATTATCATAGGACCTCTTTTATATTTTGATTTTTAAATACTTATTTCTAAGGTTTCTATAAATCCTAATTAAGTGAAATATGCCAAAAAATATTTTTGTACCATTTTGAACTCTTTCTGCAAAGAACTTCTGCAAGCTTCATTTACAATTGCTTTCCTTGTTTTTACCTCTCTTCCACCTTTATCCATATTCCTTCGATAGGGGTATTTTTCCCGATGTTTGGAAATCCTTTCCATTATTTTGATTTTAAAATCTGGTGAACCATCCAATGTTGTTAACTATTATCCTATATCTATCACAACTCACCTTGAACAAATCTTTGAACCGATTGTGTTTGAAAATATTAATAGATTATCTAATCATGTATTCATTAGAGTGCAAAATCGGCTCCGTCACGGTAAGTTTACTAGTAGCGTTGACTTTACAAGTTACATTAGTGACTGCCTTGAAGTAAACAATCAGGTTGATGTTAATACTACCTTTAAAAAAAACATTTGATACAATCATCTATAAACTATTATTAATTACCAAATTGGAATGCTTAGGTATTAGTTATTCACTGTTATCCTTGTTTAAATCTTATATTATATGTCGGTTTCCTGTTCTGAAATTTTCAAGTATTTCTGTTTAGTTAACTAACTTTATTCACTGAATACCTACCAAATAAAAATTACGGAAAACTGACAAAGTTAAAATATGAGTATTTTGTGAAAACAACAAATCTGTTTGCATGTTTTCTAATTTTTAAAAGAATATTAGCATCATAATTTAGGTGTTTTAAGAGAATATAAATTCCAGACCCGGAAACCTCGCCGCAACCTTCTCACCGCCAAAACTTAGAAATTTGAACAATGACTACTGCAGTACACAATATGTAAAGCTATAATCTACAGCTAATCTATAGTTTATATCGTCAAATAATTTTTATTATAAAGTACATTAGAGTAATAAGGAAAAAGAGCCAAATCGGCCACTACCCAAATTCTTAAGCACTATGTCGTCAATGGATTTTCATTTGTAGTATTTAGTAATATTAAATTTTTATGATTCGAAGGTGTATAAAATTGCATTACACATAGCTTATAAAATTATTTTATCAATATTAAGTATTGTAGAAATAATAAAGTATTACAACTTACAAATATGTTACGGCTACTGTAAACAAATCTTAATTAACCATCTCCAATATAATTTGTAATAAGTCCCTCATCAATCTGATGAATAAAATCTAGGCAAATCTCTCAATTTTGGGGGCACTAATAAGATATTTTTCACTACTCTATTCTAATCTCGGGGTACAGCGCTCAAACTCCGTAGGTATACAAAATATTTACATATTTTTTTTTTACATTGGATTTTTTCGATTATGGCAGCAAGTCGGTCGCGGCGAAGTTTCTTAGACCGTATAAATTCGGTCTATATCATCAAATTGTCTTTTTTCCCAATAATTAATATTATAAAATATAAGTTAAATTAAAATATAATATTTCGTATGCATATGCATTATAATAAATACACAATATAAAGAGATATTAAAGTAAGGGTATTCTATAAATAAATAAAAATCAACTTCAAATGTTAGGTATTAATATGTAGAAGAGTTATTTAAATAGTTGTCACAAAATGACAAAAATTCTATGCCACTTACTTCAGAGATCATTTTGAATTTTTTATAAATCAAAGACCAAGCTATCGTTCTACATATTTTTATTTATTTATTTATTTCTTCAATCCATAGTTAATAGGTGTACTGCATATGTAGTATAATAGAAGAGAGAGAGTAGCACCTATTATATTTTATAGATTTTTTGTTTATGTGAACTACGTTTTTTTCATCGACAGTATTAGTAGTAGTATGTTCTATGGCTCTATGGTCTCTTTAAATTGAACAAGGTTTAAATTTCTAACCAGTTCATTAGACGTATAAATGTATAAAGAATGGGGCAGCTATATGCTATAAGCTACTCTACTACCCCGTAGTATAGACTATGGATGGATCTTATCTCGTACTCATTTAATGATATAAATGTTTATTTTCAAAATTTATTTGTCTCCTTCAAATTTTGTTTTGTAAAATAGATGAATTTTTGGGTTTAAATTTAAATTTAACACATGTCTTTTTTCTGTTCTAATTAAATTACTGTGTGTGTAATTATGAAATTTCATTATGTTACACTTTGTTTTAGTTTCAAAAACAAAAAACACTTATGTGTGAAAATTGGTAAAAAAGGAACATGTGGTGGAGACAGTGGTGGTCCAATGATATGTAATAAATGTCAATATGGGGTATGCTCTTCTGATTCCCTATTTGACAAGGACCTTATAAATAACAAAACATTATCATGTGACTCAGATAAAAAGCAATGTAAACATATATTTGTTTACATGTTCAAAGACTGGGTAAAAGAAATAACGGGAATTTCAGAGTATTGTGGAAACCCGCAGAAGAAGAAAGGAAAGAAGAAAAAAAAAAAAAAAAATTGTGGGATAATACCAAACCATGAATTATACTACGTAGTGGTTTTTATCGTCACTGTACATAATGTTTTTCTAAAATAATTCAAGAACTTAATTTTAGAAATAAATAACACTTTTAAATGTATGTACTTTTAGATATTTTTAAATGTTTATGTATAAATATTCCTAATCAGTAATCCGAATGAACCTTCTAGAGCACTGTACAAAGCAGATTCAAAAAAATATAGCTGGTTAAATAAAGAATACCTTTTTTTTGAAAAGCTGCAGAAGGAGTTTTAGATGAGAATTTTCCCCCATCATAGAAAAATGATTTTGCATGATGCACCATAATCAAGAACATACTTTGAAGCGTAACGGGTACAAAACACTCTTTTTACCTCTTTATTGTATCAATAAAGCTGACTGTTGCCCTGTCTGAGCTATGAATATTCAATTCATACTGGAATAAAAAAAAAATGATATCAAAAACATTATGTTTATTGTAATGCTTTTTGATACACAACATTCTTAGTTTTGTTTTCTGGCGCGTAAATAAATAATGTTGATAATTTTCCGACACGGGAACTGGCAATATACAATTGGCTATGTGGAAAACATAGATTTTCAAGATTGATGCTACAAACACTTAACGATTGCCCTTGCAATTTATTTATTGACTGCAAATGCAATCCACACTGTAAATTGTAACCGTTTAAAGTCGAATGGCATATCGTTCTCAATCATAGGGATGCGTGAAATCAAAACTTCTTCGCCCTTGAACTTTCCACTATAATCCTTTCCTCAATTGTATTGACGGTTAAATTCACTTACCGTCTTGGTTACGGGGGCAGCACCACCCGTCAAATAACCCAACGCTGACAGTCCGGCGAAAATAGGTATGAGTGGCAGCATACCAACAGTCTCGGGTTTAGGTATCACTCAGGGCGTTTGATTCTTATTTCTATTTTTCTTTGAACGGTTTTCTCGCAGCAATCAGACATTTTTTTTATAATATGTATTATATTTTTTTCTCCAATGTTTTTCTTCGTCATAGTTTAGCGACTTTAACGGCGGTTTTAAACCCATATCCCGCCTCTAATTTAGGTTTTGCCTTCATGTCCATCGTAACAGTCCACGCCGATGCGTTTTCCTTAAAGTTGGAGTCTTTTGCTTTAAATCTTTCTCCAACCCGATTTTCCAATATAAAATCTGCTTTATTACACTCCGTTATAGAACTACTTCGACCGTAAGCTCAATCGTATCTCTGGACACGCAGAGTCCAGCGGGTTTATACTCAAACTATACGTTTTTATCAAATCGGTACCTATTTTGTGTGATCCAGAGTGTTGACGAGTTCGCAGCCTTTATTCTTGTTCCGTCTTCGAGTAGGTAACATTGTGTTATGTTTAGATTTTCCGTGCAACACGAATACTTATACGAAAGTGAGGTTTATAGGGAACTCATAACTCTCATCCGATAACGTTAATCCGCTTATATAGTTTTTAATGAATCATTGCGGCATGGTTCGCTTTTTCCTAATACGATACGTGCATTAGTCGTCGAACCTTTTGGGTGCGGTAAAACCAATTTGATTTATGCGCTACTAACCAATGTGACCAGAACACAGTTCCATAACGTTTCTATGTATTCGAAAACATTAAATAAACCTAAATATCGAATGTTTGTGATATTTTAAAAAGTAAAGACAAAATCAAATTATTTACGTTTTATGATAATAATAAAGTTATCTCGCCCGAAAAAGCGCTGCCAAATTCTGTATTTATTGTTGATGGTGTTATATGCGAAAACCAGAATATCTTGCGTTCATATTTTGTACACGGACGGCATAATCAAGTACACATATTTCCCGTTTACCTGAATACCTACATAATTAATTAGAGACAACAGTAATTTTATTTAATACAAGACTAGACTAATTTAAAACACGTACGTTACGACCTCTAATGATATGTTGTTATAAGTAAAGAAAGCGAGGGCGATAGCGGTCGATATAGACACGGGTTTGACACTTTCGTCACGATATAAAGCTTGGATTTTTACTCATATCTAATTTGTTGTATAATCATGCACAGGGATAGTTTATAAGATGAGCTGATCGTGGCTAAAGAAAATATAAAACGAAAATATTTAGCACTAAAGCACACAGTGATCCCAGCATTCAAGTGAAAGAAGTAAACAATTTAAAATCAGTTAACAAACCATTGAAAAAAATAAAACAGCATACTGCACACAATAACGAGGAAAATAATATATGATACGATACATATGAGGAATATATTAATGATACGGGTTCAACAAATTCAGTCATTGATAACACCGAATCGCCATATAATAATTGGATTTTATCCCTGGATTTAGATAAAACGTATGGGCCCAACAATTTATATCAAAAACATACTATTTTATAAAAAAAAAAATTTAATTCACCGACGATAAAACAATAGTTATAAACTCATTAAAAAGCGAATAAATTATAACAGGTGGGCTTTTTGAATTAATTTTATTGAAATCTTCGATTAATTATACTATTAGTGATTTAGAAACATACAAGTCTACATTGATACAGTCAAGCGCACATTTAACCGTTGACGAAACTAAAATTAAAAAATGTAGCCATAAGTATACAAGAACTATTTCAATCAATCTTGAAATTATCATAAAAATGTCTTAAACGTTAACCAACCTCCCGGGTAGAAAAATTGATATTGATCTAGTGTCAAATTTTGAAATAATTAGTTAAACATTGGTTACGTAATTCTACGAAAACTCGTTTATATGATGCTTGATTTTTATCCTTAAGCAGAAAATATGCGAAGGGTATATAATAATTATTATGAAATCTATGTATTGTCGTAATCAATTGACAAAAAATCGAACACAACAGTCAAAATTCCATCCACATTTCACATAATAAAACGTATTTAGCGTGCTAAGAAATTTGATATTTCCGTCGCATGAAAACATTACCAAACCATCTAATGGTCATTAATGGGTCATTAATGGGTCATTTACCATTAAAAATGTCTCATATATAAATGGTTTAACCTAAATGGACAAAAAAACTGTATGGACTTTATTAACATTTGGTGGCAATTTTGGATACATAGAATTCCTAGCATGGCTTATGTTATTTTTAAACTACGTTTGTAGTTGTTAATGTACTTACATTACTATTTTTCATCTCGACAAATTAATCTGTCTAGGAAATACTACATGTACAATATACATTGTATATTGTACATATTATGAATAATGAAAATAATATTTTTAAACATTACGGAAATCAATATAATAATCGTTAGTACACGTCAACTATCGATATATTAATTAATACTCTAGATATGCTATGGAAAGCAATTCGAGTGGACGGTTTGAGTGTACTTGAATCGCCTCCAAAAACACCCGGAGGCAATTCGAGTGAAAAAAGGTCACCCACCTGAATTTGAGAGGCAATCCGAGAGTACCCGTACCTACTATCGGCCGGTCGCTGGTGCGGCGGCGGGTATCGGGACACCATCTGTCTTTACTTAACGCCCAACAAACCTAGCAATTACGATTGTTGAAAACTAATATCGTTTAACAGGCACATAAGTTATATTATTAGTTTAGATTCTGAGTGTATTCATTTTACAATGAAGTTTTTATTATTATTATTTTTTTAATCTGTGAATAACTTTTCTACCAGCAATTTTTCACCGATTTACAATGATAGCACTTTTTCAAAAAGGGAACATGACTAGTATGGTACTTTAAGGAAGTAATTTGCTGATTTTCCCATTAGTTTTTCCAACAAATGAGAAAAACCGGGGAAAAACATGGGCAAAACGGAAAAAAAACTTAAGAAAAACGGTAAAATAGGTACATAATATTAAACAAATATTACGAAAGAAAATATATATATGATAATGCTAATATAATTATTTTACCTTACTATGATGTTATGAACCACCACACGAGCTGTGTTAGGAACCACTACATGTAAGTGCTGGTCCAGCACATAGTGGCCGCACAGCCCGTGTACAACGACACATTATTATAATATAGTTTAGTCAGAGTTCTAATGTAAAAATTAACAGTATAATAATAAATATATTTAGTTTTAACCTAGATATTTCTCACTCGTTTTATTTAAGCTAATAAAATACATTCGGTTGTAATTTAGTGTTTTCCTCTTTATTCAAACTAAAACCTGAAAATCATAATTGGTAAACACTTACCGCTCTTGGACTAACGTATTTAGAATACACATCTAAATACTTATCCGGGGTAAAACACTACTACAACAACTAGCAGACGACTTGTGACAGCTCACTGAAAACTCAGTCCAAGGTAAGACTAACCTACAGAATTCGTGGCCGTCGGATCTAACCACGATCACAATAATGACATATACAGGATGATTCAGTAAGAGTGCTAATCCCATTTTTTTAGTTAAATTTTGTATACATTAAAATTCTAATATTTGGGATTTTTAAGCATCGTTAAGGCTGATATTTTCGAATACTTACATTTTTCATAACAATTAAGGAGTATCCGGGTGGACATTAATTAGATTAAAACAGTCGGTTCCATAGTAGGTCAAAATGATGAAAAATATCATTATAAATCACTCCAAAAGAGCTAAAATAATTCAAATACTAAACTAAATATACTATCTACGTCTAGATATTTGTAATATTAAATATAAGTATTCAGGGAACATTTTTATGTTTCTATATTATTTGTGTTTAAAAACGCAAATAGATTTTTTAGACAAAACCGGATTTTTCGATTTGCCCGCTCAATGCACCTAAGAAACTCAAAATGCTTAGGAACGATAATATATCTTCTGTAGATTTTATGATCGGAACAAGTCCTCTGGTTGTACATTATGCTCGATTGGCAAATACAATAGGAAACAAAATTATACAAACAAGACCCAAAACGGAATACATTTTTTGTTTATCAAACAATCAGTTATTAGATTTATATATTATAATTTATTGATATAATTAAAAATAAATAAGTTCAGGGTAGATAGTTAAAAAATAACAGAATAGGTAGATACAGTATAAATACATATTATAATGTATATTTCGCTTAGAAACATCATATACAAATAATATTAAAATAGTTAAGAAAATATAAATAATATGAATAATATAATTCTAAGCACATCTACCAAAAAACATAAAAACTATTTTTTATTTTTTTTTATTTTTTTTTTTTTTTTGGTAACTTTAAATTAATAGTGTATATAAACACATTTTATAGACGAAATAAAAACAGATAATATTCTTTGTAATATTAATTTACAATGTAAATACAAACAAAAATATTACTATTATCTTTGTATATAATATGTGTTGTATAGTTGATAATAATTATATTTTTTCTAGGTATATATTATATTGTGATACGATATGATAATGACGTATTAAATTTACTAATCTAAACAAAACCGCTAAAACTTAAAAAAAAAAAAAGTATAAAACAATCATTATTTATTAATTTTACCAGTGATTACCAAATTCAATTCAAAGCTACTTACATTAATATCATACTTTCTTGAAATATTATCAAGGAATGTGTTTATCACAAACAGTATTGAAACTTAAATCTAGATAATTAATTTACGTGGTATTATTTTTTTTTATCTTTTATTTTAAATAAATTACAATTTTGATATCCATCGCATATCGATATACGTTGTTATTTTAAAATCAAAAAAATGTAATGGTATTACCCGAAAAAATAAAGATAGCCCAAAATAAATGTAATGTCAAACATGAGATCTTCTTGTTCCTTAAATCGTCAAAAAAAATCACTGAAAAAACTCAATACTTTTTGAAACATTAAGTGACACTTAAATGGATCACTCTGTATAAGTAAGATGGCAAAATTGGAATACGCGGGTATTATGAACACCATTAAAAATGGGTTTATTAGTTAAATAATATACTGAACACAAAAATCAAGTTTAAAACTACTTCCAGCTTAGTTTTCTTTTCGTAAATGTCAATATTGTTAATGATGTAAATAAGTCGTAATGCCTATAATTGACTAAAAAATGACTATAAAAAATGTACTATGATGTACATTTTATTTTCATTTATTCATTATGTAAGTAATTATTATTATTTTTAAATCTGAACTGTATATATAAAAAATACCGAATAAGAAATTTCGTTAAATTGAAAATACGGTTCTTTTGAAACAAGAAAAATAAATAACTAATTTATTATTTATTTAAAACACTGCAGTGGTTTGAGTCCAAAAAGTTAAATTTCATATTTTACATTCGATCAAGATTTTTAGTTGATTTCGATATTAAAATTCCCATTGCAAGTAATTTGTTTACAACTATTAAATTTACATTTTGCACATGGTTTTAAAATAAATCTAAACAGACGAATACATGATTTTCTTGAAATACGGAATATACATTATATATATATGGAGGGACTCGATTTTTTTTATTAGACATTTTATAATAATAAACATACATATATAACTATTATATTTCAGTTTGTATTATCAATTTATAAAACCATTTCTGGTATTGATTTTATTATTTTTTTAATCAGAAATCATTGAAAAATATATGTGTTGATAACTCAATTTTTCCGTCACAAGTCAACAATGCCACCCGTTTAGTCTAGTGTATATTCACAAATACGTGCAAATACGCAACTACAGTAGACTTAACTATTTTTTTTACATGCAATTCAAATTTTTTTCAGTAAGGTTAAAGTTGGTAGAATTTCAGTAAAATAAATTTTAGATTAAGATTTTGATATCAAATTTAGACGTTTAATTTTTCCGTAAACAGGTAAATAAATTGCACTGTAGAAGAAGTTTACCATAATTTGAGCGGTGTTATAAAAACGCAACTAATATAACAAACATATTATGTTTTAACATTGTTACTGTATAATTGTTTTACCCAATATATTTTTAGTTTACACACACATAATGATTGATAGTAATATTATAATACATTTTTTTTTTTAGAAAATCGTCTTTAAATTATTTCAATTCAAATATTATTATTACTTATTAACGCCACAATGGGCAATTTTGTATGTAATACAAGTATTATTAAATAGAATTTTTAAACATTAAACATAATAATATTATTACTACTACCTAAAGTGGGTAGCTTACAAACTTATTACTAAGGAACATTAAATATTAACACTAGAACAGGCAGATTTAGAAATTTAGAAAAAGAGGAGTTTTCGTTAGCCAATCGCATCACACGAAGAAAGGGATGGTTTTCACCAAAGTTCGTGGAATAAATTGGGACAAAAAAAGAGGTGTGAGAACGCAAAGAATGAGAGGAAACTCTGAAGTTCCCCTGGGAAAAGGGGAAGGGGAGTCAATGAAGCTATCAAGTAGCTTGGATAAGAATCGAATATTTGCAGACATTATTCTATCCGTTAGTGAATCCAGAGAAAGGACGCTAAGGACGCTAAGTAATCGTGCTGTGTATGTTCGATTTTAAAAACGTAAGTCACAAAGGACAGAAAACGACGCTGCACTTTCTCAATATTACAAGACTCAAAAGCAATGTACGGATTCCAAAGCATTGAAAAGAACTCTAAAATAGAACGAACGAAGGCGCAGTAAATAGTTTTTATAGGAGGGACAAGTTTAAATTCACTCGAAATACGTTTTATGAAGCCTAAAACTTTGAGAGCCTTACAGCACATGGACTCAATTCGAAGGGAATAGTCCAGGGTGGGCGTCAGGGTAATACCTTAATATTTAACAGAAGTAACCGATAATAGAGAAGTTCCGTCAATTTCAAACGAATACTCAATGTTAGAGAGCCTTCTACTAAATGACATTGAATTGTATTTGCTAATATTTATAATAGACTTGATGTTATACAAGAAAGACCGATATAAACCATCGGAGCCTTCAGATTTGACATTTACTAGTTTATCAAGTCCAGTTTCAATATCAACGTGGGTAAAATCGCAGTTGCTTGGTAGAGTATAGTTGGAAAAAGGCATAGATGTGTAAGCGCTATTATAAAAACTAAAATTGAAGACAGAACTGAAATAAAACGAGAAAAAATGTGGAGTTGTCTGTAGCAAAAACTAGATTGCTCGTTTAGATTTATAGAACTGGGGATTTCAGTGCTAAATTTAAGCTTCCCCACAAATTTCCAAAAACCACGAAGGTTACACTTCAATAATATTTCAGTTTGAGAAAAATACTTCTTATAACACAACTTTGATTCAAACTTAAAGCGAGCTCGAAGATTGGAGAACACATAGTAATTATCCTGGCAACGCGTTAATTTATACTTAGCATACGCACGTTTCCTACTAAATATAATATTTTTGAGGGATTTAGAGTACCAAATCGGGAACTTAGATGGAGTATATGTTGTTTGAGGTACACAATTAAGAACACAGAAATGCAATGCATCATAAAATACATTGGTTGCAGAGTCGATATCAAGAGTGTGGAAAGTTTGGGCTCAATTAAAAGACAACAAATAATTACAAATATCAGTGTACGATGCACGGCAGAATTCGGAAAAAGTGTGAGAAGAATCAATAGTCGGGACATAACCGTTCATAAGCTATAAGCTGGGATGGTATAAATCAGTAGGCACAAGCGCGTTAAGAAATTTAATTGTGATTGATGTAATATTATATATTTAAGAATAATCATAACTAAAATTAAATATTAACTTAATAGTGTACAAGGACGTATGAAATATTTTTTTTTTTGAGGGGGGGCTACAGCCAATTTTATGATAGTTATAAATGCGTGTTCTTATGAAATGACTTACCTATGAGACTTTCTTTTCAAGTTGTTTGAATTGTATATCCCAAGTTGATCAAAAACACCGAAAGTATCCTTATAAAAGTACATCACCCCCTTCTATCCGTTAACGTTTATGATAAATCTTTATTATCTTATTGGTCAATTACAACGTACGAAAATACAATTTATAGAAGTATATATACGTTATATGTATAAAATATAAATACTTATTTAACCGAAAGAAAATTCAAAAAATACATTTTTTGGAGGTCGATTATAATCTATATTGTTTAAATATAGATTTCGTGATTCTAATAATATTTTTATTCAAACAAATTGTTTTTATAGCTCTTATAATAGATTTCTTTTCGTACTTGATGAACGACAGATTTATATTTCACGATAAGTCGATAACAATAAGATAATGGTTGATATATTTAAATGGGGCGCGTTTTTTTACGCCTATAAACTAAGAAAATCGTTAAAATCAGTATATATAAGTATTAGGTATCTCATTTTTGTATAAGTTAATTAAATTGATTGGTATACACGTTAAATCGTTTTGTACACATAGTTAGGTATTGATAATATAAATACATTATAGTTCCGCCAAATTGTTTACAAAATATTATTTCATAGGTTTTTTTTCTTTGATAATATTATATTTTTTGTGGAATGGTCCTAAACACCCGTCACTGCAGCTAAGCATTTTAGTTAAATATTGGACACGTTTTTTATTATAAAAACAATATTGTAATCTATTATTATTTTAAATACTCCTGCCTACTCTAATGATATTATAAATATTCCGTTATTTTTGACTTAATTCGATATTATTTGTAAATTGTAATTAATATTTCGATGTATCAAATGTAATACTTTTATACATAAAATATTAAATTGTTGAAATTATAATATTATATTAATATTAACGGGTCCCAATATTTACCTATTGAGTTTGATCTGTTTCCCCGAAGGGACGAGCAACCGTAAACATCAAATATTGTCAAAATGAGGTTTTTTCCGAAGAGAGGTGAAAGAGGTTACGGCAGGTGGAAATTGGTTAAATACTGATGAAAAATCGAAGGGCGAGCTGACTAAAAGAATAGGGGTGTGATTGAGGAAACGCTGTTAAGGTTAACTGACGAAGAGATCGGTGGATTCTGTTTCATAACTCTAACATATTTCCAGAATTTCAAAGGACAAGATGCAATTGTGCTTTCAGTGTGCCTAATATAAGTTTGATAGTCGTTTTTCTTCTGGCACCTGTATTTAGCTCTGAGTTCAGAAAATGTGAGATAGTTTGAAGGTAATTGAATTTAAACAAATTTTCAAAATATTGCGTTTTATTGAGTTGATATTCAATATTCATCGATTTATCTATTATAATCTTTTGTGTCATATTTTTTTTATTTTTTTTTTTTTTGTGCGAATTAATTGGGTTTGTTAATTATTATTTTGGGTGTGTAAAATCATACCTACACAATTATATTCATCGAAAATATTATCTCCATCCATATTCCTGTCAATTTGTTATTTATTATTTTTCAAAGCTCATATTGTGCTATTTTGAATGGCATACTATGCTAGCAATACATACGTATTTTTTTCATATATTAGTTTTTCATTTAGACATGTATAATAATATGAAAATAAAGTGGTTAAAAAAGGACTATCTTTTAAAAATGAGATAAAAGGCATCCCATTTTTCGTTCGTCGAACACGATGATCAAAAAAGGGACGTATTTTCAACCTAGCCTAAATGCAGGCACATAATCAGAAGGGGTTTAAGAGTACAACTAAACCTCACCCCAACCGAAATTTTAAAAATACATCATACTCTAATTCTAAAGTTCAAAATGATTAATATTTTTGGACTTATGAACAACCGTATTATCAACAATATGCTTATTCACCTAAGTAATATGAGCACTTTCAGCTAAACCAGCTTTGCAGTATGTCTACATGAGTTTAAAACAGACAGTACATTATTTGTCATTATACAAATCATATGAAAATCAAATTCAGTACAAAGTGATCCATTAAGTGTCTACACTCAATAATTAAAAAAATTATTGACTTTTTTCAAATGTTATTTAAAATTTAGATACATGTATTTCTAAAATTGTAAACATTTTTAATTCGTTAATCCTTTTTATTTTTTGAGATTAACACACTATCAACTTTTTATTTTCAAATGGTTACATGTATTAAGGATCCCACAAATACATTACGTTTCAGATTAAATGCATTAGCATTTATAATTAAAGTGGAATATCTCGTTAATGAGTAGATGGAAATTAAAAATGTCAACACCAAAATTAATTTAAACTAAAATGTATTTCTCTCTCATTATGGTTTTAATCCGTAAATTGGTTTACAGCCATCCTACATTCCTTGAGATTGAGTCATTTATTATCTGTTGAACATACTCTAATCTCGGCCTTCCCCTATGGTTCTTTCCCTCTACGCTTCCTTCTATAATTAGTTTTAACAATCCTTCGCGTCACATTATATTACTAATCCATTCGTTTCATCTTCTAACCATAACGTATTTCTCCATAATATCTTTCCTTCTGAACAACACATTTCATACGACTCCAGTCTTTTATTGATTGATATTGTCCAGATCTCACACCCATAAGGGACCATACTCTATACAAATTACGTCTTTAATATATTTGTCCATGTCTATAGGTTAATGTTTCTTGATGTAAGTACCGCATTCGAACATAAAGATATACAATCAGTTAGAAAGACTATTTATATTGAACGAAGAAAAAACTTCTTCAATAATCGCGTCATTTATACTTTTGCTATATTTTCTCTTGTTTCTTTATCTCTCACATTTTTAATTTGCCATTGCACCTTTTTTTATTACCAATAATTCTACATATATTTATTTTTAACATATGAATTTCTAATATAGGTTTCTACGTGCAAATTAAAAGTAGTTTCATCTTTAAAAATAAGGGTTACACAAAATAACAGTAATGTAATCTTTCATAGCTGCTTTTTTCATAAATTCTCTAAATTAAAAATTCCTTAAATTAAATCATACTTCGTGAACTATCTAATGTAGTCACTAAAGGGATCACTCTATATTATACAATTTAAATAAAATAAAAATGTACGAATCGATACCTAATTAATAAAATACAAAACAAATTTGTCTAAAATAATTCAGGTGCTATAGAGTATAGGACTTATTACACTATTTGTTTATTTCTTTTAGAAAAAATTAAAAAATTAATAAATTCAAGGTTAAAAAAAAGGTGAAATCGTGAAAACTTGTTTTTCAATCAAACAGATTTTTAGAAATATCTACCTACTGCTTGCATCTTTTGGATAGTAGTATTTTTTTTTATTGAAAATAATTAAATCACGCATTGACTATTTTAACGTCAAGTACGTTGGTCGATCAAATACTCGTATGATTTTTAATTTAGCATTATTATTTAGATACATTTTGTAAATATGTGTTTTTTTATTTTTTATAATTAACACATCCACCCTTCTTTTGATTTTATAATATGACACATTTAAAACCGCATAATGTGTTTTTAATAATGTATTTTACTTTCAGTCACGACTACCGTAATACAATATTGTGTATTCCTTCGGGAGTTACCCATTTCCTATAAAATTATACCTTCCCCTTTTCGGCCAATTTACTTTTTCACCAAACATTTACGATGACATTTTAAAATACGACAATGAATAATGAATTTAGTATTAAAGTTTTCTTTGTTAGGTTACAGATTTTAGAGTGTTGTTAAAATCAGGTGCTATAAATTATTATTATTGCCAACCTTCAACAAAGTCATTTTTCCACACTCAAAAGGTATTGTGAATATCACACATTTTAACAAAGATTGTGCAATTTAATGTAATGTTTGTAAGATTAGATTGAGATAATTTTTTTCACTATTTATTATTATTATGAATACTTGTTATTTTTTATATTCATTGTTACTACGAGGTGAATTGAAGAAATCCCCTTTTAAATAATAATGGAAAAGTGAATCGGCGGAAAACGTAAATGTGTACTTTTAGCGAAAATCGGCCACACTTATTCCTACGAATTCGAGTAACAGAGTGGTCAACTGCGTAATGCATTCTAATTGATTGACCTAATATCTATACATATATACCGCCATTTTGTATACAATCATCTAGAATCATTAAAGTTTCAAATTAATTTTTAATAAAATAAAAACGTTTCATTAGAAATAAAACATTGCGCCTCAATAATATAGGTACTAATTTTATCACTAATCTAAATGCCTCTTAGGCCGTATTATCTAGTTATACAAAATGGCGACCAATTCAAAAAATAATAAGCTGAGTTGGTCACTCTATTACTCTCATTATGTTGTTATCTTTCTTAATAATAAATACTTTGTGTAATTGTATGTTAACTCGTTTCGGCACAATATAACAATTGTAATAATATGACAAGTAATACGCGAATTACAAAAAAATAATACAATTAATATACAACATTATTTACAACAGTCGCATGTGCACATTTCCGAGCGAATTGATATAAAACGTCGCTGTCGTTATAGTTGTGGAGACGTTTTATAACATTTCCAAGGACTCGATAATCGAAGTCCTTGAGTCCGGATGTCAGCATGTTATTTGACCGTCACTGGCCACGTTGTACCGCACGCGACCCGCCAACGAGTAATGGTTTGGCCTGTTGTCTTCCAGTTCGGAAAACGACTTCCTCCTTTGCAACGTATACGATTGGCGGCCTTCTTCAGCCGGCTGATGTCGTGGTTCTTTCATGCTTATGAAACTCGTTTCTTTGAAACGACTGCAAACAAATATAATCGATATATTTTTAAATCCGGCGGAAAATGTATCCGCAATGAAACCCGGCACACTCAAATTGCCTCTAATTAATCTCTTGAATTTCCCCTGTAATTTCTTAGATTCTGAGTGGAGCGAGGGATGTATAATTGGTTTAACAATAAAATATTTTTTTTTTATCTGTGGCTAACTTTTCTATCAGCAATTTTACTCCAATTTACAATGGTAGCACTTTTTCTGAAAAGAAAGGAAATCTGACTAAGGATACTTTAGAGAGGTCGATTAAAATGTTCTCAGAAATTTTCCCAAAAAAAAATGGAAAAACTAAGAAAAAACGGAGAAAAACGGGAAAATGTACAAAATGTAGTGATAAAATATTACGGCTTTTTTTTTCCTGTGAACAACTTTTCTACCAGAAATTTTTTCCGATTTACAATATTAGCATTTCTGAAGAGAAAACTTACTAAAGTGATACTTTAGGGAAGTAAGTTTTTGGTTTTCCCCAAGAGATTTCCCAATAAATGGAAAAATTCGGAAAAAACTTAGGAAAAACGGGAATTATACTAAGCCATAAAAAAAAGTATAAAACTTGAAGGATAACTTCCTAATAAAAAATGTATAAAGATGAGAAAAATAATAAACATATCAAGATGAAATAGAGAAATTAAATTATTAATTTTTCCGATAATAGGATTTTTGGAGATTGTACTGCTCGTCTCTTAAGGAGGATAGTATCGATTGGTATTTTATAGAGACATTATTATTAAGAGAAAACTAACTTCCAGTTGTACGATGGCTCACTCCCGTCGTCCCTAATCACCATGTTATCGTCGAATATGCTATCGGCATCGTCATCGTACGGGTTTCTGTCGGCATCCAAGATTATTTCTTCACCATCCTTGTCATCGTCTTCTTCCTCTTCAATGTTCTGCTCTTCGTCGTTTATGTCGTCATCGTCGTCTTCTATGTCATCGTCGTCTTCTATGCCATCGTCTTCCTCTTCTCCACCACTGCCATCGTTTTCAGCGTCATCGTTATTACCTTCGTCCATGTTATCACCATCCTCGGCATTATCTTCTTCTTCGACCTCATCTTCTTCTTCTTCTACTTCTTCTTCTTCTTCTTCGATTTCACCTTCGTATTCGCCCTCAGCCTCACCCCCATCGTTTACGTCGACCAAGTCATTAAATTCTTCGTCGTGGTACTCGCGACAATCGTCTACGAGCGTCATCTCGCTGCCACGCGTTTTTCCATAGCGTTCATAGTCCTTCAAAAGTTCACCATCTGGGTCGTCGAATGAGTCATGGACTGCCATTGGCGTCACGTATTCTGGTTCTTCGTGCTGTTCATCCTGATGAAGATCTACTGCTACGTCACCGCTGCTTTCAATAAATCCATTATCCCCGGTTTTACTTCCACACAAGTTTCCATTATTACAATCGGGTCCACAGGAACTGAATATAATACCGTTGGGCCCTAGTCTGTTAGCGCAACTGGTAATTCCAGTACCTCCAGCTTTACCACTGCACCGATCACCGTTACTGCAATCAGGTCCACAAGGGCCTAAAATGATTCCATTTACTCCGGGCCCTTTGGTAGGCCAGACTTCGTTTCTGCCCCCGGGTCTGAATCTGGATTGATTGCCATTTGACCATTGATTATAGTTATTTCTACCTCTTCCTAAATTGGACAATTGGGTATGGCCATTGCCCCCAGTTCTGTTATTGGACCATTGGGTACTGCCACTGGTCCCGGCAACACCGATACCCCTAGAATTGGTATTTCTATTGTACGGGTTACTGGCACTGTTCCCATGTACGCTATTGTATCCAGGTCTGTAACTGCTAATTGCGTGTCCATTGCTGTTGGTTGGTTGATTTAATTCTTCAGGGTCTTGCAGTGGGTGTGACTCTCGATAAGGCAGCGGGGCAGGCGGTCTGCCGATGATGGGTGGCTTATAATTCAATATATCCGGGTCCTGTAAATAACGAAATAATAATATATTTCAGAAATACCAATTAAACTATAGTGAATTGCCACCTTTGTGTAGTGCCTAGACGCCTAGTTACAATAATCTCTTGTTAAAAACTCACTTGAATGAAAAGCCTAAGTTTATTGCGGATGTACTCAAAATTAGGCCTGTGTTGGGGATTGGTTTTCCAACAGAAGCACATTAACTTGTACACTGGTTCTGGACAAATATTTGGTCTGGCCAAACGTCCGCCTCTCAATACGTAATTCATCGTCTCTTTGTTCGTCATGCCAGTGTATGGCATATTCCCGAAAGTCATGATCTCCCACAATGTAATCCCAAAGGACCTTAAATGAAAAGAAAAATATTGTAAATCAAAAATTATATGATACTTAATGGAAAAGTTCACGGTTTTTTTTTTTTTTTTTTTTTTACATTGTACGTACTATTATTAATATTACACAATACATTATATATTAGTAGACATATATTATATTATTACCAAACATCGGTTTTAGAATTAAACACGCCATCTGCTAACGACTCGGAGGGCATCCATTTTATCGGTAACATCGCTTGCCCGTCTTTTCTATAATATTCATTTCTGCGGGAATCAAAACAAAATGTATAATAATTTTGTTTTTTTTTTTTTCATATATATCAGTAAAAATTACTCGTCCTTGGATAACTATTTACCTGTACACGTCCCTAGACATCCCAAAATCGGCAATTTTCGTTACCCTCCCGCGGCCCGTCGAGGACAGTAAACAATTCCTGGCGGCGATGTCCCTGTGAATGAAATGCAGATGCTCCAAATACGCGCAACCCTTGGCGATGTCAAGTGCCATTTTTATTAAGTCTTTTAACCTGATCGGTATTACCCGATGATCTTGTTGCTGAAAATTACGTTCAAAATAGAGATTATCTACGTTTTAAAAATATCAATATTTTTTAAATTTAACGCGTATTTTGCGTATATTTCCCATGTGCGACATCTATTAACAGATTACCTAACAGGAATCTTGGTCCGATCACCAACTAAGCGTATGGTTCCGCGACAAAATATATCAATTCGAAATTGTAACGTTAACATTAGTAGAATACGATTATTATCGACATTTATAGAGCACAAAAAAATGAATTGAAAAATGTTTAAATAAATATTAAAAATATTTTTTGTCGAAATCGGAAAAAAAATTAATAAATATTTATCACAATGCCAAGATAGTCGATGAAAACGACACGTTATCAAAATAACGAATAACACACGGTCGTTTTGGACAGAGTGCGATTGTCGTTGCGCTGTTATTGCTTCTCATAGTCGCATGGCATAATATACGACCGCAACTTGTGTAATAAAAGTAAAAATCGTTTGGTTAAAATGTCGAATTGATATTTACGCGGGATCACATCGCCCTGTAATATACTATAATATGTATAAATATACGCATGGCTATAATTAAAATTTGGGCTAATCGCATTTACGACACGCCGCGGCTCCGCTTGTGTAAGCCATACGGAATAAATATTACCACGGGTTTACTGATTGCATTGTTTTCAATTTTTTAGCAAACGGTTTTTCAACGGAAATATTGTTTTAATCATAAAACTTCAAGAGGCCCTTTTTTCGTTGAATTTCGGATTTGAATGCACCTGAATAAAGTCGTTTTTTTTTTTTTCTGATTATCCGAATATTTTCCGTACTAATTTGGAAAACCGAAAACAAATGCGAAATGAAAACCGATAAATTTACGGCATTACGATTATGTTATTTTCAACTGTTACGCTTTATGTTCTCCACCAGAATATGAAATTCATTAGAAAAATAAAAGAAAACATTGTTGTATTTTTAATGTAGTTGGCGAGTAAGAAAGTCGTTTTTACATTTCCATGGAGTTTTTTTTAATAGTTGAGCAAAACTGACAAAAACAAAGTTTAACGAACGGGAAAATGTATAAACGTAATACTTTTACTTTTATACTTAGTTAAATAAATTTGTAGAGATTTTAAATTTTGATAGAAAACTTATATTTGTATAGATATTTTAATTCCGTGAATTTTTACGTAGTTTCTATTTAATATGTATTCTGTGGATAACATTTTCAGACTAAACAGAAATACTTGAAAATTAAATAGAAGACTAATTTTAAGTCGCGCTTAGTGCGAACAAAAAAACAATTGATTGTAATGTAGTGCTTTTTTTTTTTTAGGGATTTTAATCGTAAATATTACCCCATTTCGTACACGTATAACACTGAACTTTTCTCCTAATCATTTTTCGTTAACAATGGTCTGTTGTTGCTTATAAATAGAAATTACACAACTTTGTGTATTCCGACTTTCTCGCTACCCAACTACAACAGTGGCCACAACCGTCCCTAATACCAGCCAGTTTTTTCTATTTTTATTTCGCATAATTGAACGTACCACCGAAGGGCGATTCTTGCGCAGGAACTCTTTCAGATCGCCACCACTCAGTAGTTCCGTGACGATGAACCTGTAATTCTTTTCGAACGTGATGCCGATGAATTTGACAATGTTCGGATGCTTGAACTGGCTCATTATGATCGCTTCGGTCAAGAAGTCTCGTATGCAACAAATCTCGGCGCCCCTGATCCGCCGTTTCTTTTCTCTTTCTAATTCGGCGTTTGGGGTGGCTTCGTCGTCGAATTTTACTTCAACGTTGGCCATATCTTTTTTCGGCTGCAGCGTCTGTAACAACGAAATCAATTTTACACGACGAAAATACCCATTATACCCGTATAATCATAATAACTCTGAACGAATACAAACTTTTATCGCGACCTTCATTTCGACCGTTTCGCCCGTTTTTTTGTAATAGCCTCGGTACACCACTCCGAAGGCTCCTTCGCCGATAGATCTAAATAGATATTTCGATATTTATAATAAATTAGGTAAGTACGTTTCTAATTCCCAAAAAAGAAGCAATTATTACGAATATAATATTTGAATTAACACTATTGCATATATATATATATACCCATGAAGTAAAAAAAATAAAAAATAAAATAAGATGTCGACGTTGGGCAGTAAGCTGTTTGCAAAGGTCATTCGGATATTCGGATCGTTCATAATGAATTATTCGAATGTAAAGTAATTACGCGCACTTGTTATATCGTATTAAAATGATTTACTTTTGTATTCTCAATTCCTCCCTCGAAATTCTCGGTAAATCTCTGGTGGACAATGTCCTCCCGTTGAAATCATATGTCGGATTGATGTCTGCATTTCCATTCCGGTTCCGCAATGGTATGTTGCAATTTAAAATGCCGTTATGGAGTAAAGTGACATTTTCTTTGCGTTCTTTACGTTTTCGATAACTCCTATCTAAAATCATAATAACGACGAACTTTATTATACTACATACTGCGGTTTACAACACGATACTTACACATCCATATTCCAATGATCAAGCATATGAATACCAACGCAAACACACTTCCAGTGATCAAGAATATTATCTTGGTCGTTTCGGTTGATTGATCTGTTTTATAAACAATAAAATGACACTTACTTTCAGCCACAAATTCAACACTTGGGTGAAAAAGAATTAATTTTTCTCGAACGACAGTGAAAAATCAATAACTTTGCCGTATTAAAGACAATCCAAATTTCATTTCGAAATCGTTCTAATAAATTACTGAAAACATTAATAATGGTAAATACCTATTATGTATCGAATGTAAATGCATTTCAACAGGTCCATCTAACGGTAGAATATGGCGCAATATTGTAGTTTAATGTATACAATATTTGTCCCCGAGAGCGCGCCGTGCATTCAAATAATCGTACGTTTTTGTTGGGACTTGTTATTAATACAATATTATAAGCTAGTTTTTTTTTAACAATTTCTGGTATTCAACGAGTAAAAAGTAGAATGTTTATTTTTGGTGTTTCAACATATTTTACTTACCACTATATTTATTGTCGTCTAATAATTATTTACGACCTGGACTATCAAATGGAGATTTCAAACGGGGAGGACGTGTAATCGAAGATGATTCGAGTCATTTTTTTTCTATAAATTCGCAGACAATCGTTTTGAAGGTCCCGTAGACAAAATTACAAAAAACCGAACCATTGAAATTTTATCACGTAGATTCTAACTCAATTACAACGTAACAATTATTTATTATTTATTATACTATCGCGGTTCTCATCCTTCCGTAGCAATTTATTATAATCAATTAATCCTAATCCTAATTAATCCGTTTCGTTTCTCATCATCAAACAAATTAGTGTGGATGTATGTACTTACATATGCAGGATTTCTGGTCGGGTCCGAGTTTAAAGTCAGCCGGACATATACACCGGACGGAGTTCCGAAGTTGATTGGTCGTGGCGCACAGATACGCACAACCGCAGCCCACAATAGCCGGTATAATGTGCACGGTCCCGGAACCATAATGACTTCCCGGATACACGGTGCTGTAGAAAACTGACTCGGGATTAGGTAAGTAAGACCAGCCACCCTCGCCGTTTGACTGGCTGTTGCTCCAAGCGCGACCACCTGTACGGTTTGAGGGTTTAGAAAATAATAAATCACACACAATATTATTACCGGTTTACATAAATTTGTTTTCGAAGCGAATAAGCTTGAAACGTGCACAAACTCTCGGACAGAAAAATCCGACCGCTCTGACGGGCTTATATTGTTTATTTGCGTGACAATAATAGCGCAGAAGAAAAAAGAAAATTCGAACTATCGAGGCGCAGTATCGTGTGTCTTTATATGCGTCGATTCGCGTAAAAATACTCTTTTCCACGTCCAAATAGACCTACGTCCAAAACCGGGGAGCCACACTTGAATATCCTAGATACTTGTCGAGAGCACTCTTCTTCAACACCGAGTATATTAAACGGCAAAATAACACGCGCGGCATTTCGCCTAGTAGACTATTCCCGATTAGGCGCCATTTAAGTACAATAACACATATTATAACATTCATTGGCGCCGGCACCGGGATCGAAGACCTGTAGTGCTGGTATCGTGTTACGCAGTACGGGGTACTAGGCGAATTTCTTCTGCTCGAGTACATAACGAAGTGCATATACGGACGAGCACGAACATCAGTTCACCTGTCTCTAGGATTCATTGCGAGTTTTCAGAGATAAATATAAGTAAAAAATAATCGTAGAATTTCGGCATTTGTACCTAATATTATTTCAGTACCCGTAGTCTATGACAAATGCAAACGAATAAAAAAAAAACTACATTTCCACAATAAAATAAAGTTTTACTTAAATCATTTTTAAATTTTCAAAATGCCCCTGAAATATATTGAAAAAAAAGCCAGTGGTTTCAAAAATTATTACTAAACAAAAAAATTTAATATAAATTAATACTGGATTGGCCAGATTGAATCGCGAAAACGTACATTTAAATTTTCTGACCCAATCAATAACCGAGAAAAATTCGAAATAAGATTCCGTATTTCAATTACACATAACACCGAACAAATTTCGATCGATTTTCTTGTACGATGCAACAAAATATACATCCATTTGGGTTAAATTCACTACCGTGCCTGTGTATTTAGAATAATGTCATTGAAATTTTGTTTTTCGGTGATACGCGGTGATATACGTTCGTTTCATTAGTATTCATTTTCGTGTTTTCATTAGGCACCTAGCGTGCCACGGAAAAGAAAAGAGTAAGTTCCATACAACTAAAATATTCAAAAACGGACAAAGTTCGGGAGTATTAAGTCTGATATATGTGTAAAGTTTTCGCTTAATCGTGTTTAATTATAATGACGTAGTTCTTTATTACATACCTATTTGCTACGTATCATAATATATTACTATGTGTAAATATTGCGTTGATTAAAATAAATATAATTTCACGTTCGGCAGCATAACGAATAATTAAACTTCTCCTAAAAACTGATCGCCTCGCATATAACGTAATACCAGAGTCGCGTCTTTGATAACTGACGTAAAGTACTGTACGAACTTTTACTAATTCTATTTATTGAAATAATTTGTTTTGTGACCTTATAATGTTATATTGTATGAGTTGTGCCGTCGGAAACGAAAGTGTAAGTACCGAACGTTTACTACGATGGAATTCATTCCGTCACGTTCGATCCCGTTAAAAATAATTGAATTTCTCGGGTGTTGCAATGCTGTTATTTAATATATTTTGAAATGCCGGAAAAGCTTGTTGGAAATAGGAAACATTTAATTCTACGACTGTTTGTGAAAGTGTCTGTAGAACGTTTAAAAAAATCAACTTCTGTATCAAACATTTCCGCACGCTTTTTTTTTTTTAAACGGTATATAAATGACGTAGGCAGTGAGCCACGCCCCTACCACTCATTGGCTGTATTGAATATGCGTTTAAATGGTAATACAAAAACAATCTATATTATAATGTTTACTTAACTTAATTACAAATTTAATTATTTTACACATTCGTTTCGCGAATACCTCATAATTAAATCGAAGCATTACTTACATTAGTTAGAGTAAAGCTGGTACCTAAATCGATTTAACTGAAATTATCTTACATTAGTAGCAGCAACAAAGAACAACGGTGGCAACAGCTACGTTTATTTTCACAGCGTTCGGTTTTGCAGAGTGATCAACATAATGTAAAACACTCATTATTTCGGAAAGTAAAACAATTATAGTAATTTTTTTTACAGAACATTTAACAAATAACTAACTGTGCAATTTTACATAACGGTCATTTTTGTCACCCTCGTTTTGAGAGATGAAACCACTATATAGCCCCGAATTTGAATATTAATGCCACCTTAATTTTAGATCAATCATAATTTGAACATTTTAATAAATCGGGCATTGAATATGCAATCGATAAAAAACATTATCGTTTGCATTACACTCTATAGAGGTTTGTTGTAAATGTAAATTTTGCTGCTCTACCGTAACGAGATCAGAAAAACTATCGAGGAATACTAGAATTTTTAAAATTTTTAAACAATATAAAATAAATACATTAATAAACGTACCATAACTATAATGAAAACTTATAACAGTTAAAACTAATGTAACCATTACATAAAATGAATAATAGTTTGACTGTTTATGATTTTGCAAATGATATGTTCAAATTGTTTTAGGATTTTCTGAACATTGATGTGTATTCAAATCAAGGTAAAAAGATTGTTGCAAGAAACTGTCTTCATAATGATACTGCCAAATGTAATGATGCATTGATGCATCAGAACTAAAATGTCAAATTAGTTTCTTTCGAAATTGCATCAAAATAGAAACTTTTCCTAGTTAATAACAAACGAACTAACTAGGCTGTAAGTACACAAATTTCCTCTGCATCTTACGAAAAATGATTTTCATCAATGAAGAGCGTTGGTGGAAATTTGGAGGGGGGATCAGAGGCTTGGGAAACTGAGCCCTCCGAAAAGCACACCAATTTCCCATTCCCCCCGAAAGTTCTTGCAAACATATTTAAATTTTCATTTTCATGTAATATGTTCTAAAAGAACAAAAAAAATATAGCACATAATACTTAACATATTATAAATTTGTTTTCATTAATAATATAAAATATAATATTTTAATACAAAAATTAAAATTATTAGTTGGAACACTGTCCAAATGATTTGTTTTGTAATGTAAAAACATTAGTTATTGTCTGTCGAACAATTGATGTTATTGGTTTAAGTATTTATTTTTTTTTTTTTTTTTTCGGAATACTCGAATAAAACTAAAAACCTAAAATTATATTAATTTCAAAATACTAATTACTTTCGATTGTCGAAATAATTATTGTGTTAATTGTCACACTACCGTAGTGGTAAAAATAATACGCAATTGAGTTACGCGAATTCACAGTTTGTTGATATTTATTTTGTAAAAAAAAAAAAAAAAACGCCCTAGGATAATGGGCACGGGTGCTATCACTACTATAGATATTTTAATATAAAATAATTTTGTTTCCCCACTAGGTAATTTAATGTAAACCTGTAAGCAACAATAAGACTTGTTTACGAAAAAAAAAGTCTAAGCGGAGTTCAGTTGATAGTGATGCTTTTTCAACAATAAATATGTCATATTATAGTAAAATAATTAAATAGGCTTTATAAATTTTCTTTGATAACATTTGTTTAACGCTGTACCGATTTTTCCGATTTTCCTACGTTTTTCGTAGTTTTCCCATGTTTTCCGGGTTTTTAACATTTATTGGAATAACAGGTGAGAAAATCGAAAATTGACCTCTCTAAAGTACCTTTCTAGTCGGATTTCGTTTTAAAAACATCACTATCTATATAAATTTGCACGAAATCGTTGGTAAAAAAGTTGCGCAAAGAAAAAAAAATCGTTATAATTCTTAATATATTTCGTATATTCTTTCGGTTTTTCTCTGTTTTTTTCTTGGTTTTTAACATTACATGAGAGAATTCTTGAGAAAATCGAAAAATGGCCTCTTTAAAGTACCTCCCCAACAAAATTTTCTTTCACAAAAAATTCTATGTCATATAAATTGGAGCAAGATTTCTGGTAGAAAAGTTGCCCACAGATATATAAAAAAAATAAAACAAAATAAACATCTTTGTTTTTAAATTTTCATTAAATACCAAACAACATCAAATAGATATAAAATCATATACAAATTTGTGTAAGGTTAAGTATTAATTTGTATCTTTAAGCAACGATAAATCATTACTAACGAAAAAACGATTCTGAGAGGAGTTCAATCGAGAGTGATGCTTTGTCAACACTATATGTATGACATAAAATAATTAAAAAGGCATTATATATTTTCTTAGATAATATTTGTTTAATATTGTACCGATTTTCCCGTTTTCCCGTTATCCTCCGTTTTGCCCCGGTTCTTCCTGTTTGTTGAGAAAACTCTTAGGAAAATTGAAAAACAACTCCCCAATCCGATTTCCTTTCAGAAAAGGTGGTATTCTTAAAAATCGGGGCAAGATTTTTGATAGAAAAGTTTTCACAAAAATTGAGAGGTAGTTTTAGATTAAAACAAGTCGATAGCTAGGTCTCTAGGTACACCCAAAATGAATTAGTTTTTTACCTTTTTAGATAAAATGGAAAAATAAGTGAAAAAATCTTTTTTAAAACACATTTTTGAACTCATAAACCCTAGGATGACAATAGGTATGTGCAACTATTCGGTTATGATAAAAATTTTCCAGAAAAGACAATATAGAGTTATTTAACATAACATATAATATACGCATTATATCAGAATTTCAAAAAGCTATAATTTGAAAACTTAGTCAGTCGGTTCAATTTTGACTTCACCATCGTTTTTAAATCGACAATATACATAAGTTTTAAATATAAAAAATTTAAAAATTACATTTGTTCCACTCAAAAAATTTTGGTCAAAATTGATATTAAATTTCCTTTATAAAAAAAATTACTACTTTTAACTCAATTTTTTTTTTTTTGTTGATCACAAGTAAGACTCTTCATGAACCTTCTGTTTCAAGCATTATTTTTAAATCTAACAATTTTACCTACCGCATAAAAATTACGTAAAAAACTCGCAAAATTAACATGTCTATAAATAGCTCGAAAATGGCTTAAATTTTTTGAAAATTTTACGACGTCTAGAAAAGTTAAATATAAGTTCTTTTCCAAATGTTAAGTCCATAAAGAGTACATGAATATTTTTAACTGAATTACAACAAATAACAAAATTGAAAAACAATAAAAGCATTATTGTTGTAAATCTCCCATTTTTCTTACGTTTTAACATGGTTTTCCACAGATGTTATGAAAACTGCTTGGAAAATCAAAAAATGACCTACCAAATCCATCTGTACAATATTCCCATTCCAAAAATGTTATCGTGCGTACATAATTGAGCAAGATTTCTGGTCGAATTTCCGTACACATTATATGAAAAAAAAAAAGCAAACATCTTTGTAAAACCAATACATTCTTCGCTCAGAATCTAAAATATTGCTATAAAACTACAAATTACTAAAATCAAATATAATTTTGTATAGTTTGTCAAATATTTCAGCATACAAATCACTGTAGGTTCTTTCATACTATTATACCATTGTTTATTCTTACAAAAGTTCAAAATATATCAATTAAGTGATAATATCATATAACATATTATGTTACTTAAGCTGCGGTTTTTGTTTTAAAAGCACGCAACGTTAAACATTTTGATAAATGGCCCTGGAGAAACTTAATCATTTTTATTGCATTATACCTTTACCAGTATTTTAGATAACGTGGGCAACAAAACTCATAAGAGATAATAATATAAATATAAAAGTTATGTAATATTTATTAGGAAAATACTTTTAAAAAATAACTGTTATTATAGTTTCAAGTATTTTATATCTTATTTCACAATGTGTGCAATGATCGTTGTACACTTTGCGAAATATACAATTCCGGACTCCGTATGTAACATATATGTACGGATACGATACGACACATGGCGTCATTAAAATTGATTCAGCAGAGTTAAAACCAATTTAAAAATTCAATCCATTCTCAAGTACTTGTTTATTTGAACGATTTTACTTAAATTCTCTCTCAAAATTTGCTAATATCGGAAACCTGAGATCTATCGAATCAACTACCTTCAAAACCAAAACCAAAACCTCTCCAGTATAAGTCATGAACCATCAATTCTTTAAAAACTCATGTACCCATATCATTCTTCCAGTAAAGGCATAAGCCTAGTCAGGATCTAGACCTTCGAGTTTTAAAAGCAGTAAAGCAAAAAGTAAAAGCGAACATAAATTATCTTGGCTTACCAGTGAAACCGCCGCCTCCGCCGCCGGCAACGCATCCGCCACCACCACCACCGAACCCGCCAAATCCTTTGGTGCCACCACGGCTCTTGTAGCACGCGTTACCGCCGACACCACCACCTTCGCTCGATACACCGCCGACGTTGGTCAATGCCGATCCGCTTAGTTTTGTTTCATCCGTGTAGTTGCCTGGCAACCAGCCACCGCCGGCTCCTGCATCGACATCAAAGCATCAAAGTATTCAGCTAGGTATTAATTCTATTAATTGTACATTAATTGCAGCCGTATAATAATTAACCCGACCAATGCGTGCGACTAATGCGCATTTTAAACGCATCTTAATTGTCGTTATTTCAATATGTTACCGATAAGTTTAAAATGTCGAGCCTTAACAAGCGAAATGACGTAAGCGACATTTTTATTGTTCTGGAACACACACATATAAACACAAGCAAAAAGAGTTTTAACATTTTAAAAATATAATATTTGTTAAAAAATTGTTATGAATATATTATGCTCAAAATTTGTATTCTAAATTATTGTTAGGAAATTTACTTAAAAGGTATTATTTAATTATTTTAATTAAATAAAGAAATAAATTATTTATGGCGTTTACATTAAACAAAGAAAAAATGAATATTGATAAATCTTGTTTATATTTTTAATAAATATTGTTATTTTTGTTAATGTTTGTACCTAAAACTAAATGTGATTAGTAAGGGTAATAGGAGATAAAAATGCCAAATATGAGAAAGAAGTATAGAATATTTTCACGATAGAAAAATAAAGTTTACATAAACACAATAATAATAACGGTATGAAAGTCATATCTTTCGAAATTTTTATTAGAACGGTAATCAGGAATGGAATGGCACCACATTTTCCCACAAGGATATTTACAAGGTGACATAGAGGTCACTAGACAGAAAGAAAAGATACCCAATTTATTACATGTTAATAAAGTTTGTTACGTGGACTTGGTATATTAAGTGTTCCACCAACATTTTTAAATCAGAGGAAAGTAAACTAAACTTTTAGTTTACATAGTCTTAACATGTTGACATTTTAAAATACAAAATTATAAGACGTGTATAATTGTATACTGTATAGAATATATTTTAAGTTTTGTTGGTTTATTTTTGTTCATGTACACAAAAACATTTTCGTTAAACTTCGAATTATATATGTATATTGTATAATATTGCCACCATACGACGATAACGTAGGTCGTTGGTATCGAACATTTTATTTTTCCGCAATAATAAAAGTTATAAAATATATTAGTATTAGTGCGTTGCCCACGGTTATCAACGTGAAAAACTTCCTAAATAAGATTATTATTATTTTTTTTTTAAGTAAGTTCGATTTGAGATTTATTTAACTAATAAAACAATCTATCTATTTAGAAATTCATTTTTAACGACTATTTTAATAACAAAATGGACAAATTTCTAAAACATGAAACATGATTCTGGCGCTGAAAATACAATTTATATCAAAGATGATACTCTCAATAATGAGAACAAAATAAAAAAGGTCAGTAGGCATTATTGAATAGATTATTTAAATTTTGGGTTTACCTATGTTGAAAAATTTTATTGTCAAATTCTCCTTTGCGTGGTTTATGAGGAAAACCCTTTTTAATAGAGCAAATGGCACCAGCGAAATTAAAACGGTATTTTTCATATAAACACGCCAATTTCCAGTCTTCATTATCTATCACATTAAAGTCCGTATTGGATTAAACTGTAAGCATGGTTAACCACATAATATAGCGTCCGATACAATTACGCCTATTTAAAAAAAACTGTGTGAATCAATACCGTTTTATTTTACGGCTGTGTTCCGCGAAAATCGTATAGAATGTTTCGTGTTCTGTCATTCAAAATAGGTTAAGAACCACTGGTCTCGATACAGAATCAGCTTTTTTGACATTAGAAGTTATAAAGAAAAGAATCGTGACTTTGAATATTTTTTAGTAATCTCAAAATTTAAAAGACGTCCTAGGATAATGAGACGGGTGAAGCCACGGTTATAGGTAATTTTATATATACCTGTAAGTAACGATAAACCATTGCATACGAAAAAACGATTCTGAGCGGAGTTTAGTTGATAGTAATGCTTTGTCAACAATAAATATATCATATTATAGTACAATAATTAAATAGGCTTTATATATTTTCTTTAATAATATTCGTTTAATGTTGTACCGATTTTTCCTTTTTTCCTACGTTTTACACTGTTTTCCCATGTTTTTCCCGGTTTTTGACATTTTTTGGAATAACACCTGAGTAAAATCGAAAATTGACCTCTCTAAAATACCTTCCCAGTCGAATTTCGTTTTAGAAATATTGCTATTATTATAAATTAAAAATAAATTACTGGTAGAAAAAATGCGCAAAAGAAAAAAGAAGGCCGTAATATATTTAACTATTACCTACATTTCTTATAAGAGTATTTTCCTGTTTTTCCTCCGTTTTTTTTTCAGTTTTTCAAATTTGATGAGAAAACTTCTGAGAAAATCGAAAAATAACCTTTCTAAAGTACCTTCACATTCAAAATTGTTTTTCCCATATTTTATTATATTTTTCTCACAATAATTTTTGGATTCAATAGATTGCAGAATATTTCTGTAAAGAGCTTGCATAGAATAATTGACTAATAATGTAAATATTTTTTAACAACATTATTGTTAAACAAAAACAACAAAATAATTTTATCTTTAAATATGAACATGACTTATATTTGAATTAAATGAGTTTATTTCAAAAATGAAGCAAAGTATACATGTATTCGTTTATTTTATAAAAATAACAAAAGTTAAATAAATAGATCTATGCACAGTATGTAAAATACACTCGAATTGAACATATCAATATACTTTTATGGGAGTGGAAATTATCGTTTCCGTAGACAAATATAATACGATAATAATAATAACAACAATAACGACGATAATTTATAATATATAACATACGGCGTATATTATTTATTTGTTAATTTAAACGCCAAAACAGTGAATTTTGTATAAGGCGATCTAAAAGTAAACTAGAACCAGGTGGGATGGATGACTGCTGCGGGATATGTCATAATAATAATATAATATATATAACATATAAATATGTTCAGTTCAAATAGGGAACAAAGTAATTTGAGTATTACGTAACGGTTTTCTAGAAAATGTAATATTATGTTTTACCTCCGTTTTTATAAATAAGAATCTGTTAAAAACTACTTACTGTATTTTGCCCGTTCTAATAAAATTTCAAATTGTTCCATTGTATGGAAAGTCATTATATTGATCGACGAATATAATATTTTTGCGTCGTAATACAGTTTGAATACATTATTATTATCATAATGTTGAAAAACATTTTGCACCGCATACGCATCGAACAAACACATTACTAGTCCGTTTGACTGTCGGTTGGTACCTATCTCTTAAGTATAGGTTTACCGTCGAACATGCATTGGTACATTATACTCGTATAATAACTGCTTTTACATTTCTTTTAACCGCAAGATGTATTGCATTTCTACGGGTACAATATCGAAAACTTGGGAACCGTAATATTTTGAAGTAAAGAAATAATTTTCCAAGAAATATTGTAAACAGCGCCGATATCGAAAGTTTAAGTATATATATATAAAAAAACTTGTATATTTTAAATGGAGTCACTTCTCGGAAATTACGTTTTCTATATAAAGTTCAGAAAAAAAAAAAAAAACTGAAACATCAAAGCGTAGGTATATTATTATAATTTGTTTAGTTTAAATATATTATTATAAAAGTAACAATTAAAACGGCGTGTGCGATTATCTATGTACAGTGAAACCTTCTCTAATGGACACCTCCCAATAGCGGACGTTTTTTTTCAAAACGGGGACATTTTCACTACTTTTTTAGTGGGAAAATCTCCGAATAGTGGACACTATTTTCTTAGGCGTGACTAGGGGGTGCTAGGGAGTCTTTAGCACCCCCAGTTAGCTTTCTCATGGTAACGAATACATATTTTATTCACCTATTTCATAGTTAATGAGCATCAGAACAAAGTACAGATATCCTATTTGTGTATAATGCGTGTATGTAGAAAAATAATGCTAAAATAGTTAGGATAAATTTGTGTATACAAAATTTTACATGAAATGTGTAGTTGCCTATTGTAAGCGTCGTGTAAAGGGATTATGTAGAGGCCATGCCCCTCACAGGTCTTTGATGGGTCAAATTGTATTCAATCATTTTAGCACACCCTCCCACCTAAAGATGGTGGTTTAGTTGCGTCTATGACTATTTTAATCTTAATTTAAAAATAATAACAAAAAGACAGTACCTAAACACATTCGCATTAATATGTACTATCTTAATAATGTAATAACGCTAACGAACTCAATAAGATTACGAATAGCAGACACCTATTAAAAACAATGACAAAACGGCGACAGCATTAGGTTTAACGATAATGAACTCGCTCAAAACAAACTCGTTATCGAACAATATGATAAGACTGACGACTAACGACTAACGACAATAACTACGTTATAATTTAATTTAATATAGCGCGGATGTTTTCACTTTACATATTATCCTTAGAGAATTTCAAAAATTTACCCCTCTGAATAACGGATACCTTTGAATAGCGGACAAAAATTCGGTAACCGAGGGTGTCCGCTATTCAGAGATTTCACTGTATATAATATGGTAGAGTTGAAAATTTGATGATTCCAAAACAATATCGAGGTAACATTTTTTCTAAACGAAGAAACGATAATATAGTATATTGCTTAGTGTATAATACAATATTATTAACCCATTATAGGTATTCGTAGTCTAGTTGAATTCCTTTTAAATAAATTGCTCTCTCCAAACCAAATTAACTCAAACGTGTCCTTACCAATCTTATGCTCAATTTTTAACATTTTTCCAGAAGTGACTATAAAATAATTGTATAGTTTAATTTGTGTTTATTAACAGAATAATTATTGTACTATTATAGTGTTCAGTTATTCATTGTTTTACAAAAATATATCTATATAAGAATAATGGCGGAAATTTGGTTCTATTTGACGGAGCTATGCCGTTTACGAATATTTTTTTCTGCCTGTAAACTACTTGTCGACCAAAAAACTTGCTTCGATTGTCAATATCACGGAGATAATTGATAGCAAATGTCGTTAAGTTGGCTCGGTTTTTTTTGTTTATTTTTATTTTATTTACTTTTCAAAAAAAAAAAAAAAAATGAAAAAAATAAGAAAGAAAGAACACTGGAAAAACGGAACAATTTTCGGAGTTTTGTCTTTTTTCATTATTATAGAGTGAAAATAATCATAGAGACCGTATAGATTTTTACCAAATATAGTATGTGTAATACACTTATAATAGCTATATTAGATTTTATACGTGACGTACGATTTTCAAATTATTTATACAACTACTTGAAATTTAAGAGTTTAAAAGTATACATTTTGGGAATTAGAAAACTATTCACAACTGCACAAACCTGCGGGGTTTTCACCGAATGACGGTGCGGTAATCGGCGGTAACCTTGGATTTGTGCCGTTACCATGTTGTCGGCTGTCGTCTTTGAAAGGCCCATGTGCCAAACCACCTCCACCGGCGCCGATCACAAGTGGATAAAAACCATGCTCTTGTGAGCCCTTAAAATTAAAAAAAAAAAAAGTCTTATAATAATGACACCGTAGTAATAATATTATAAGAGGTATATCCATATAAAAATATACGAAAACACAAAATGTAAATAAATCAGTCATCAAATTTCTCGGATAGGTTAATCTGTCTAATCAATCTACCCTTTGCATACCGTACATGACAAGCCCACTCTAACCTTTATGGCCTTAAAAAAAATCTTGTAAATCGGGTGCATTATACAGTCTGTTTAAGTTTGCGTTTTTCCTCCGCTCGTATATATCAGTATTGCGATTTAACATAGGTTCATATATTTTCCTTTTGAAGATCAATAGTTTATTCTTGTCACCTTGTATCGTGAACCACGTTTCACATCCGTGCATTATAATGGGGCGAAAGTAGGCAATGTATAATTTTTTCTTTGTGTCTCTTGAATGAAGTTTCGATGTGAATATTTTATTCATTGCATAGTACCCACGGTTTGCTGCACTTGTTCTGGACTAAATCTCGTTATGCATATCGTTTTTATAATTTATGTATATTAGGACCCTATCTAGAAATCTAAAATAGTATGTAAATATCTAAAATTCTAGACATGTTCAAAATATAAACAATAATGTTCAAATTTTGTAATGGAGTTAGGTGCCTACTCATTGCATATATTTATAGTGTCTTTTTTCCATTTAAGGCATATCTTTTCAAAATGAGATTTCTTACAGTACGTTTTAGTTCCATTTTCGATTCTCTAAATATCACAATTTCGTCCAAATATAATAAGTGAGTTGTAGGCTCCAGTATTTCCATTTTTTGGTTTTCCTCTATGTCTCTTATTACTTTTTGAGCTAAATGTAAGAATGCAGGAGATAATGCGTCTCCTTGTTTCAATTAATATATAACCGCAAAATCCTTTGATATTTCTCCAAGAAAACGTACAAGGAAAGCTAACCTAACCATTGCAAAATGTGCTTAAATTGCAACAATTTATTAAGTTAACTAATTTCTTTGGTAATCCGAAATGCATAAGTGCTGACCATAGTCGATCTCTACTGATGCTATCATAAACTTGCTGGAAATCGATAAATAGCATGTGTAGATCTTTGTCGTATTCAATTAAGAGTGTTTTATGAGGATGCCACACCAACATCTACTATCTCCGTCTTATAAACACGGGACATAGTAAATTTGTGTTCAATAAGACACATTCTGTGCCATGAGTTCTAATATTAAAGTAAATTGACCTATTACTAAAATCAAAGATAAGAAGATTATAACTATGTTAAAGTACAGGCAATGATGATTTTACCATATTTTTATTTTTTAAATGAGACATGAATATGTTAAATATCACAATTTAAAAATGATTATATCTTGCTTAAAAATTCAAAGATCGACATAATATCAACGCTGGGGTATATTATATAATTGTCTTACCTTTAAGTTTAGTAATAAGTAAATTTGCTTTAATATTAAAACTAACGGCAAAAAATGTGTCCTCCTGAACGCAAATTTTTTATGTCTTGCGTTCGTAAAAAGGACACAGTAGATGTCCACGGTGTGGTGCCCTCTTTATGGTATTTTGTATAGGCGCCTACTTTTAAAGAAGTAGGTATAAATAAATTTTATAAAAAATCACAACTGAGTTTTAAATAATTTGTTTTAATAGTCTGTTTCACTATCATTATCACTATTTACAGGATGATTCTTTTATTATTGAAACCCATTATTTCGTAAAATATGTACTTTTTAAAAAAAAAAAATTTTAGAAACAATTTAAGAAACAAGCAGATCTAACTTCACCTTACTTCACCATTATTTTTTTGTCATGGTTATTTTTGGGGGTAAAACAATTTCAAGTTTTGATTTTCAAACGGTAACCAATATTAAAAGTTCCACATATAAACAAAGTATTAGTTAAATACATTTCAGTGTTAACATTTTTGATTTCCGTCATTTATGAGATATTCCATTTTGAAGTTTGGAAAAGTAGTGGGTATTTTTACGGCTCCATTTCTGTTTCCCCCCAAATTAGAATTTTGGAATTCTACCCAGGACGATCGTTTGTGTATGACTATGCACGATGTCCGGTTATTTGTGCATAATTAGTTTTAGGTTATTCATGAAACAAATTAGGGGAGACACAGAAACGACCTCCTATGGTCGTTTCTAACCAAAAATAAGGGTAAAAAAAAATAATGTTTACATAACATTTTAGATCTCCTTGTTTCTTAAATTATCAAAAAAAAATTTTTGTGAAATAATGAGCATTCAATAATAAGATATAATCATCATGTAAACTGTTATTTTCGTTTTATTCCGCTGAAGTGATGCGTATTATTTTGATTTTTAGTGGGTTTTTTTCGTCTTCCTTATATTGTATTATTAAACTTTATTCCAGTCGTGATACTGCTGGCTATAATTGCGATATCGTTGACTGACGCACATGCATAATTATTAATTGGAAAAAAAAAATGCACGGTCATGACTCGTTTAACTATAACCAGGTAAAAAAAAAAAAAAATGTGTAATAGTAATGTCACCGCTGTGTACGAGAAATATGGTTTTTATATAGGCGTTATCTTTATAGTTCCCTGAGAAATTACTGTACTCAACTGTGAAAACGAAAGATCCACCGCCTCCACCACCGCCACCGTTGAGCAGGCGCAAGTCGTGCAATACTTTAAGAGCGCTACCGGACCGGAAGTACTGTTCCCGCTGACACGCTCCGTCTTGTTTCTCGAACGTCTAAAACAAAATGTGTAAATTATATTTTAAAAACCAGAATTTTATGCACTGTAGATTTGTGATAAATACGATAAAAATATGCACGGTAAAAATACAAGGCTAAGCATTGACTAATTTTGTTAAAAATAAATAGTTAAGTTAATTTTAACTTAAGCTTTTGATATTTGTTTTTTTTTTATTAACTTATGAAACAATGGGTTGAATTTCAATTGCATAATATTAAGTTAATTTCAATTTTTTTAAATGTATCCAATATTAAATTTAAAATCAACATACTAATTAACGATAATTTGATAGAATCGACTGATAGTTTAATTGTTTATAATAAAAATGTCAAATATTTTTATGTATATAAAAAAAAGTTTGACTTGTCGTGAATCTAGAATTATTTTGTTTGTAATTGTATTGTACTGATTTGATTTAAATCAACAAATGTACTTAAGGTACACATTGATAGGTAATCACTAACTAAATAAGGTACCTCGTAGATTTTTAGAAGTCCTATAAATTGACACAAAATTAAATTACTAAATAGTTATAAGATAAAGATTGAAAAAAAATATATAAAGATACTTGGATACATATACTACCTAATGTCCTAAATAAGTAAGTACGATTCATTGATAAAAATGTATCACTATAAATTAAGTTGATTTTTTACTTAGTTTTTAGATAAAACGAAAGGAAAAAAACCAGAAAATCTACTTCCCAGTTTCTAAAGTTAACTTAAAATGTTTTCAGTATCAGTTAACTTTCCTGGTTTTTTTCCTATAGGCCTAAAATTACAAAAGTGTAATCAAACTAATTTCTCGCAGGTATATGTCTAGAAGTATTCGTAAGCACAGAAAATTTACTTAAAAACTTTTGATGGAAAGTGCGAAAAAAGTAATATTCATCCTTCAATTGTATGTAAAAAAATTAGACAGGTAGGGTTAGTAAGCTACCTATGCTAAATTATTTATTTATGATATCAATTTACACAGTTGAAGTAGCCTACGCAGGATTTTACTTTGTTTAAGATTTTCATTATAGGTTAATCAAAAACCCGCGGAGGAAATTGCCCCTCCCCACCCATACAAATTATCAATAAAAATAATGCTTAAAAAAATTTTGGCAGGAGGTAGAAACGTTGGTGAGGGGAGGTTAAAACCCTAGAACGCTACACCTGCGTACGCCCCTGCACAGTTGTTTAGAATGTGCCTGATGATAATTTAATTATAAAATTATATATTTGAAATGACTCTTTTATTTAATTATATACAATATTTTTGTTTAAAAAGTTGACATAAAGCGTATAATAAGTTTTATTTACACAATTACTTAGTTTGGGTTTATGCCATAATCAAGTTACTGATAAACAATGTAATTTAATGATTCACATAATATAATTTAAAAGTAGGAACAATATAAATTTTAAAATAAAAATAACCATAGTCGTTATAATATCATAAAAGTTTGTACATATTTAATATAACAAAACGATGATAGCTGAGAAATTTGATTAAATAATGTTATCACTATTATTATCATCTTTAAGTTTATTTAGATAAGAAAATAAAATATAGTTTTTAAAATCTGTTTAAACATCTAATAAATTATTGAAATTATTGTTTTTATTTTATTGTGAATATGGTAACTTTCCAGAACTGAATTTCAATATTTACTTTTTTGTGTGCATATTATCAATAAATCTTTTTCAATGTAAATTGTGATGCTGTGGTTACTTTCTAAAACATGTATGACATAGTTAGATTTGGGTTTTTCTTTTTTTAATCTTATTTCAGATGTATGTTCTTTGAATCTGGTTTTAATGTTTTTATATGCTTTACCTAACATGTTTTGTTACATTGGCATGTAATTAATAAATACCCGATTAATCAAATGTATTTATTGATTTATTATGATTAATGTTTAATTTATTATTTAACGAATTAATGATATTATTATACGTTTTGAATACTGTAAATTGTAAATTTGGTTAATATTATTGTTGTTATTTACACTGTCAGTGAGATTGTTGGTTAGGAAACTATTATATTTGGCGCTGATGTTATTTTTATTTTTATTATTTTTGATTTTATCATTATTTCTTTAAAGTACCTCCCCAGTAAAATTTCTTTTCAAAAAAGGTGCTACACTTCAAATCTGGGCAAGTCTTCTGGTAGAAAAGTTGTGCACAGATAAAGACAAAAATAAACATCTTTGTAAAACTATAAGCTTCTTCACTCCGCTCAGAATTTAAAAAAAATAATAAATACAATAAATAAGGTATATCTGATAACTGCATAGCTAAATGACGGAAACAAATTATTACAGGATGACAAATCGTATACTTTATCAATTACATAAATGTATGGATATTATATTTTAGTGAAACTGATGAGCGATAACATTTCACGATTGTGTGACCAATTAAACGCATAAGTACCCTCTATTATAAGGTGTTCAAGTACGTACTTTTCGGCACGCGTCGCCACCTTCTTGGCCGACCAAAATGTGCAACGTTTGATCTTTGTACAACTCGACCACAACTATGGCCGTTGATCCTTTAGAAATGCCCATTCCGTCGGCACCTTTGCCACCACGGGCTCCTTTGGCCACAATACTGAAACCAAACAACAATGTACACTCGTCATGTTAAACTTATTAGACGAGGTTCATTAAAACAGTATAATTTTATTATTAGGTAATTATTTGACGATTAGTAGAGACACGGGACCTAATAAAGTCTAGTACATGATAAAGTAAAAAATAATTAATCCATTAATATAGGAATATATACTTAACAGTTTTTTTTTTAATTTTCAAACGTTATAATATTTATATAGAACAGTGTTGGTATTTTAATTTTGATTTCACATTTTATAAAATAATTACCCATATTTAACTATAATAGTGTCTACAAGACTTTATCTTTGCACAGTATTGAATGACACAAGTTTAAAAAATGATAACGCATTTCCCCGTAATTATACGTGACTCGCAGCATCCAACTCCAATACGGGTAACCATGGTTACCCGGTAATTTTTCATTAAAACGAATAATATTGAAGATAAGTGCAGTAATTTGTACGATTAGCGACAACAACGAAACCTCGCTGTCTCCTTAGGTAATAATACAATTTATAAATGTGAATTAATTATTGTAAAGTTTTCACTGGCAAGCAAGTACCTTTATTTAAAAAAAAATAAATTTCCCGGAAACAATGACTAATTGTACGGCGGTGAAAACGGCGAGACACGTTTATATTTTTAGATTCGTAGCGTAGCAATGAATTAATTGGTTTTACGATGATTTTTTCTTTGACATATTAATTTTTTTTCGTTTTGTGAACAACTGCTCTACCAGAAATATTATTTTGTATCAAGTGTAATATTTTTTTCTGAACGAAAATTGTATCTACATTAAGAAAAAGTATTTTTTGGTTTTCCAAGCGGTTTACATAATAATTTCGAAAAACTGTAAAATTAATTAATTTTTAAATTTCTAATGACACGAATAAAAAAGGACGAACATACTTCGCAGCCACTGTTGTAGGTGGGAAATTAGGAAGGTAGGCTACAGACGGGAATTTAATGTATATCTGTAATCAACGATAAACCATTGCTGATGATAAAACGATTCAGAGCGGAGTTTAATTGATAGTGTGGCTATGTCAACAATATAATATACGGTATATATCAAATTATGGTAAAATGATTACAACAATGTGCGTTTCTATGACAATGATTGTTTAAAAAAAATTAAAATAATACAAACTTAATAACAACGAAAAATAAATAAAAACGGTTACCAATGACAACCTATTTTTAATCTTCTTATCTTTTTTAATCTAAAGACCGAAGTTTTCCTCGTTATCTCGAATATTAATGCAAATTTCAAAAAATTATCTGTTTAAAGTACCACCCATAAAACATTTCCTTTCAGATAAGGTGCTATACTTGATAATTGGAGTATGCTTTCTGGTAGAAAAAGTGTTTAAAAAAAAAAAAATAAAAAAAACATCTTTTTAAAACCAAAATAAATTCCTTATTCCACGCAGAATCTAAAACGAAACAATTTTACGAAATGTATTATTTTTTATATCATTTTTTTAATTTTATTCAGTTTAAAATAATTATAGAGACTTGAAGTTGAGACATAAAACTTAAATTTGCTCTTTTTAAAAGTGGTAACATTTTCAAAACATTTGTGCTATTTTTGAGCTATTTTTAGACATTTTGATTTTTTAAGTTTTCACGTAATTTTTATTCGGTAGATTTTGTGGAGAAAATCGTTAGACTAAACAGAAATGCTTGAAAAAATTAGATTCATTGTTGTAATTTGTAGTATGTGGTAAAAAAAGAATTTTTGAATTTAATGTAGTTTTTTTTTATAAGAATACATTTTAAAACTAAATTTTGACAAAAAACGTAAATTGTACTGCCTTTTATAATATATATAACCGAACCCCTCGCTCGTTATAAATGGTTTATCTTTCATTATTAAATATAAATTAAATTTCTCTCTTTCTCCTACCTTCCATTTAACCTACAGTTAGTTATTACTCAGTTTTTTTTTAATTTTGTTATCATTTAATATTGTATTATTTACACGAACAAAGCTATGCGGGGCAGCTAGTAAGTGGTTAGTTAAAAAAAAAATAAATAAAAATAATACTTGTGTATTTGGAGTTCGAATCTAGAATCAATAGATGTAACTGCGCCGATATATTTTTTTAAATAATATCATATCATGTGACTAATAAATGAATTTCAGTGATTTTAAATTATATATCTAATATAATTATAAAGTACCTATATTTGGTTATAACTAGAGACTAAAGTATATACGCGAATACAAATAACCACGTGTATTTAATTTATTACCAAACTATTAGCGAACGTAGGTATATTTTTATAAAATTTAGTCAGCCAAATTCGTCGATGTGTATACAATAATTAATTTAAATATTGATCTATCCAAAAACATTTTGGTTCATATTGCATACAATATAATGACATCATGATCCAGCGAATATCCACGAAAATTTTAAATAAAATTGATGTTTAATTTTATTCCCCATAGCATTATAAAACCGTTTAATCATCTTAAATATATTTTCAATATTGTGCTTTTAATTTTCAAATAGAAACCTAAAAAATATCAACGCTCATTCGAAAAGATAATATTTTTTTTAAAAGTCTTGATGTCTTGCAAAATAACAATATTGGATTTAATATTATTTATGATACTTATTTTCCTTCACTAACCATTTCGTTCTAAATTTTAAAATACACAGTCTTCCGTTCGATGAACATGATACGATTTTCCTTTAATATTTAATGTGGAAAAATCATGAGCAAATCAAAAAATGACCCCCTAAAGTGTCTTTGCAATCCTTTTAGAACAAGTGCTGTCATTGTAAATCAGAGCAAAATTATTGGTAAAAAAGTTGCTCAAAAATGACACAAGTGTTTTGTACATTTTACCACGCTTAGAAAAAGTAAATATACATTTTATATAGAAATTTCAAGTCTCTATAAATATTAAACTGAATTACATTAAAAAAAAAAATGATTTAAATTGAAAATAATATACAGTACATTTTCCTGTTTTCTTACGTTTTTTCCCAGTTTTTCCCAATTATTATGAAAATCACTTGGAAAATCAAAAAATGTACTGCTTAATTTAACAACTAGAAAAATTTTCTTTCAGAAAAGATGCAACACTTGATACATCGGAACAATATATCTGGTAGAATTTTTGTAAAAGATATTAGATAATAAATAATCATAGTTTCCAAAAAATAATAATAATAAACATTATTGCAAAACCAATACATTCCTCTTTCCACTCAGAATTTAAAATATGTTAATTTTTAAAAAAAAAAAAAACATGTATAGTATGAAATAAAAAATAGAAAAAAACATTTAGACTGCCACTTACATATATTTATAATCCGGAAATACATTATTTTTCCAGTGGTACTTAACTTTTATAAAATATCTAGGTTCTCAGTAGATTTTTTGGGGATTAAAAAAAAAACGAACAGAAATTGCTGATATACCAATTTTACTTTTTTTAATTTCTGTTATTCATTGGGGAAAAAACCTTAAAAAATACTACCCCACTCAGAATCATTTTTTTAATTGCTATTATTTGAATGATTGCCCTGAGATCTGAATCTTTATTTCAAAAACGGCTCTATGAGTCGAAAAAGTTTGAAAAGCGCTGTAATATGAAACTGCACTATATTCATTTGAAAAATATTTAGAAAAAACAAAATATGTCTTCATTGTTTTTATTTAATTTTAATATAAAATGTTGTTTACATACACGGCTATGACATTCTATTTGAATTAAAATGTGTATGATTAGTATACAATCATATAATTTAATAAATCTGTGTGTTAAATCAGTTCCGTATGTTAAATTTTCATTAGAATTGTATGTCGATATAACTTACTACTCTTTTTTCAAAATGTTCAGGAAACTCAATTTTTGATTGAAAACTTTGCATGATTAGTAAACTTTTACAAAAACTTAACTTTTATAAACAAAATAAATAAATACACACAAAAAGCTAAACGGGGTGATTTTTTTCTATCACGAAACAAGTTATTAGAATATACTACTAATTGTATTTAATCTTTATCAATATAATTACTTTTTGTTTAAACAAATATTGCCGCATTACCACAACAAAACAAAATACCGGTGATGTTACCTTTAAGACTAATAAATTTGTTTTTTACGATTTCCAAAAAAAAAAAAAATCCAATAAATTATAATATTTTCCAATATGTGTCTGAGACCCGATCACCTACACATACCTGCATTATTTTATTTGACTTTACCAGAGTAAGTCACGAATTCTAGTTTATCTTTGATAGGCACGAGGATGAGATGTGTATTCGGAGATGTAGGTATAATACGATAATATTGCAAGGTTTGAATTATAAGGGAGTTGACGGTGCTACTGCGTTAGTTTGATGTAAGTTTCCGGTGACAAAGTTTGTAACAAAGTTTTTGTATACACAAATCCCTATATTGTATTGAACTTGAATTTTTGTTTCGTTATCAATGTACTCACGTGTATACTCCCGTTTCGGGTACGCGCCAAATTTGCACCCCGTCCATGTACGTATCGTTAACCACAATCACGGACACGGTGCTGTTGTTGTACGCGACTTCACAAGATCTATTGCTCGGGCCCAATCTGCCTTTTGACCCGCAAGTCGTAAATCTATAAACTAAAAAATAAATAATAAATTATTATAAAACTACGTGTGCAAATGTTGGTACTACACGGTCGATCGCTGCAGCAGTCTGTGATGATAAATAATGAAACGCGGTTTACTTTACACGACCGCGAAATTACTGCAGTTTCCGCGTTCGGTTTTAATGAAAAGCAGCAGAAGGTAATAATAAATGAATAGCAAGGAGGGGGTGGAAATAATTTCGTAATAGTATAGGTATCGAAAAAATCATAAAACCTCGGTGGTACTAAACTGGTGAGACTGTGAGGATAAAAATTAAAAAAAAAAAAAACGAAATATATTTTTACATAGAGAGTATCCTACAATGTTATCCTTATGCTAATAACTCTATCAATATCGTGTTTTTTTTCAGTTGGGTTTTGTGCGAGGGCGACATATACGTAGAGAAAAACACAATTTTTATTTTAATCTCTTTATTATTGAAGAAAAATAACTTTTTATTTTATCACTTTAAAACATTTTCAAAATAATTATTTATTAGTACTTATTAGTCGTTTTAATTTCTAGAAAATTGGTCTGAAAACAATTAATATTCAACTGTAGATAGGAATTACCGTACTGATTGTGATTCCTTCATAACGTGTTATTCAATTGAAATTTAATTATTTTTCCTTAAATTTCTAGATATTAAATCGATTTAATTTTTATTTAATTATTAAATATTAAAATGTTTAGAATAATATCTTTTACAAAATGGCTATTTCGATACTAACCTAAGAAACTATATATATACTTGTATATATATGTGAAATAAAAAATATAATATATTATATAATTGGTATAGCCATTGACTCAAATTTTTAAATATTTGAAGTTATATTATTTCAATGTTCACTTTTGTTATTAAAAGTAGGTATAATAAATACATTTTGATAGATTTTAATTTCGCCTTTTTATTAATTATATTTAAATAATAGTTTTTAGATTTAATTTCATATTGGATTCAGAAAGACGTTTGGATAACACGCAATTTCGTTTCTATGTTATCATTCGAATTTTAACAATAATGGGACGCACCTTACTAAAATCACTTCTATTTAGCAGTAAATAACAAGACGGGTGGACTGTATTTTTGCGCTGTGCAATACCGATATACGGATTATGATAATCTCGTTCAATTTATTTCCCTGGACGGTCGGCGATTAATGGAGAAGCCGTTAACCCCCTCGTTTGATTTCACGAAATCGTCATAAGTCACCATTTTTAGCGTTTAGGTGATTGATGGTGATGATTAGTTGTGGTTGGGGAAAGAACCCCCCGTCAGAGCTCTCACATAAAAATCTCTGTGCTGTTTAGATAAAAAGGTAATTTCTTTTTTTTTATAAAACTATAATATATCAATCGTAGCGTTCAGAAAACCATTTTATGGAAGTATAAAAGTAAAATGTTTACGTTGCTGACCAAATAATTCCTTTTCACCGGTACGTGAGCAATCAACTAAACCAATTACGATTTTCGATATAAAAACTATTTCTCTAAAATATATCGACGAACCTAATCTATACCCGTAGACGAGACACGAACAATTTAGTGGGTTTTTCAATATAATAATATTATTGTACAATTTACGAAACATGTGCGCTATGTGGTTCGAATGAATTGAATTATTTATACCCGGAAAATGGACATAACATTTACAAAAATACACAATCACCGTACACTGTCGTTTATCAAAAATATCCATAGAGAGGCATAATAAATATTCCCCTCCCCCCCCCTCTTATGTCGTTATCACACGACCGTCTCACCCGATGTCGGTTTTAAAATCCCGGGGAAATTATCGACAAAACGCGAGTGTCCCATTTCTATATTCCCATAGTTTTACGCAGCATAATAATTAAATTATTCTAATACGCCACCGCCGCCGCCGAATTCCGTTGGATTTCCGGCGGATTACGGTTATGTGCATATTGCATAACGTATAAAAATTAATAACATTGTTGTTATTCACAAATCTATAAATAACTATATAGCAAACTCCATATACTCTTTAGTGTAAAATGTTGTCATGTCGAAATCAATAAAATCGCCGACTTTTATTATCAGAGAGGAATCTGCGTTTACATTTTGTTAGATACGAGTTGATTTTATTTAATAAATTGTTCAGATTTGTTCTTAGCGTTGAGGAGTTAAAAAATAGAAAATTTATCAAACTTTATTACTGCTGGTCAACAATATCGACAATTTGACACGTACGTTTAGCCAGCTCCCCCCCCTCTCTCCATAGGAAAATCCAAAAATAAATTATGCAAATATTTCGCACGAAAAAAAAAATATATTTTTGGAATTCACACGATATTCCTTCCCCGAAAAAATCAAAATCATAGTTAAAATTTACATTTTTCAATTAACCTTACCGATATTTAGTACGCAATTAGCATGATGTTATGAAATACTCTATTCTAAAATGTACTTTTAACCCATTTGTTTTCAAACCGTTACATTTTTATTAATTGTATTTTTTATACAAATATTTAGCAGATTTTTTGTAGATTGGCATCTGAAATTTAAATTTTTAAGAAATTGAAAATCCATGCGTAAAATAACGGTTTTTCCTCAAACGATTTTTATATTATCTATAATACCGGTTCGTAATACATTGCATGATTTTAGACACCTACTTTTTTTCGGTTTACTATTTTCGACCATAATAAATATGACGATTTGAATTTTGTTGTTTGACAATTTAGACCATATTTTCATTGAAAAACAATATATACATTGTATATATTAGTATAATGTTTATAATGTTGTAGGTATATCTATTTTGAAACTAGTAGGTATGCTTTTGATTTTATTTATAAACGTTTATTATTTGTATTAGATCAAAAACCGATGATAAGTTATTGTCATTTGTTATTCGGTCACCGGACACCGATGTTCATACTCGACTAGGCCCATCGTAACAACGTAGAAAAAAAAAAAAATAGTGTACAAAATTAAAAGTGAAATATTGTATATGGTCGTCGCGCTATCGTCGAATACAATGAAAAAAATCACGGTCGTGAAATATAAAAAACATCGTCGGCGAGTAATCGCAAAATCACGGTACGGTTACGGTGATAACACTTTGCAACCGTACGGTCACGCACCGGGCGAGTGAGAACAACAAGCTTGTCTTTCCTTTTTTAACTCGCCGGGGGAATTCCAAAATGGTCACGGTACTGTCCCGTCACTGTTGTGCGGAAACAGACCTTTAACATTGACCAACGTTATTTATTTCATTATTGTCTTGTAAACTGCTTGCTGTTTATTCGCCGGGTTTATTTAAAAATGGTTAGAAGAAAATGTACGTATTATTCCATATTTAACAAGTTTTCTTTACAAAATAAACGATTTCATACAAAATGTAATTTGAAAAAATCTTACTAATCTACAGCAAATCTGCTAAATATTTGCAAAAACCAAATTTTAATAATTTAAAAACATAAAATACAGTTAATATAAATGTATATATATATAAATATTATTTTTCAATAAAAAGATGGTCTAAATCGTCAAAAACTAAATGTACATAACTTCCAATTCAAATCGTTATATTTATTATGGCCAAAAATATTAAACCGAAAATAAAACCGGGAAGTCGCTCAGCTGTTTAGTACGTGTCGTTTGCACCTCGTTATTAGGTTGATCACTGTGATGGATATGTTAAATTTCAATTCATTCATAAATCATTGTATACGATAAAAAACGATTCTGAACGAATATAGTCTGTCAGTCTAGTGCCTTGGATATTATTTATGTATTTTATGTACATTAATATTAGTAATTTATTTTATATTAAGGCCAAATGCATACTCGCATACAGTATGATAGGTTAAATCGATTTTTTTCCAAAAAACATAGCGTATGATATTTTTCAATTTACTATTTATTTATTAGCAATGAGGGGAAATGTTTTAATTTTCTGGTGAGGGGGAGGCTTGCCAAACGTACGTTATTATAATGTATAAAATCAAGCAGTGTATTACGAACCGGTATTATAGATAATATAAAAATCGTTTGAGGAAAAATCGTTATTTTACGCATTGATTTTCAATTTCTTAAAAATTTAAATTTCAGACGCCAATCTACAACAAATCTGCTAAATATTTGTAAAAAATACAATTAATAAAAATGTAACGATTTGAAAAGAAATGGGTTAAAAGTACATTTTAGAATAGAGTTTTTTATAACATCATGCTAATTGCGTACTAAATATCGGCAAGGTTAATTGAAAAATGTAAATTTTAACTATCACATTGGACTTTTTGGGGAAAGGAGTGTCGTGCGAATTCCAAACATAGGGCTGTGAATTTTTGCAAATTACGTTCGAAATCTTTGCATAATTTGTTTATGGATTTTCCAATGGGGGGGGGGGCTGGCCAACCGTACGTCAATTTGACTCGAAATGGACATTGTACCTAAGAAAAAAAACTACTAAACGCTTTTCTATGTGCCTAAAATTGAATTGATGTTTTTTAGGTTATTTTTCAATTGGCTTTCAATTACTTTATAACATTTAATTTGTCCGTACTAATAAATAGTAGCATACCACTTATATATATATATTATGTAGAATACATTATTATTTTGCACATTTCAGAAACTCCGTGATTTTAAAATTGTATTGAGTATAAAAAGTCAAAATATATAAAATTGTTAAAAATTGTGCGTTTGATGCAGGCTTTATATGCTGTAAAGCGAATTGAAGCGGATATGAGCTAGTCATGCCTGACGTGATCCTGGTCCCGGTGAATGAGGTCAGATGGGCTGAAGAGAAGGTTTTGCACGTAACTGGAGATGCTACTGCTGCCAAAAAACGATTTTACTGCTTGTAGGTAAGGCTCCCACTTTCCCAGTGAGGGCAGTCAAAAAGCGTGAGCTTCACTGTGTCCTTTAAAGTGTTGGCAGTATAGGCACTCTGCACTTGGGATGGTATTGTTTATTTGTCGATATCTAACATATAAGTTTGATAGCTCAGAAAATAATTAACAAAAACAAATAAACTTAATTATTCTAACTCTGTTGACTACAATCAGGGGTACTAGTCTCGAAACGTACGTAAGAGAAATGAACGACCAAATCCTAAGTAAATCTTTATTTTTACGTAGTTTATACAAAAAGTATGTTTACGAACAGTTATCAAGCAATAGCGAATAAATACATGTAAATAAACGAAAATGTACGTAGTTTTCTTATGGTTGCTATTGACCACTCTTTAGTGTGCTTTAGTATACGTCTTACAATCAATTTAGTCGTTGAAGATATTAAAAGTACGTATCATTTTAAAATTTAACAGTTATCACACTTCTCTTTTTGTCTACTATTATTTTCCGTTCCCGTAATTCATTACCAAAATATAGCTTAATAGCTGTAAAATTTTTGTTTAGAAAATAATTTCAATTTTATGATTGTCTATTGATGAATAAAAAAACATTTTTTAAGTAAAATTTTCGAACAAATCGAACCACTTTTGGTATTATAACTGTACGTTTGATCATTCGTTTCGAAAATGGGGGCCCAGGTTGATTATTGACAGACATCACAGATTTGTTAGATGTCGACAGATAAACATTTACACTATGATATTTCAGAGTTGTGTGGAAGACAATTTGTTTGAAACTTTCGTACTTGGGTCACGCTATTACGCTACCGAGTTCGATATATGTTTATGGTGGTACATTACACTGATTAACAAACAAATAAAAATACATTTTTGCTTAGTTTTTTAAAAATAATTATTGATTAATTTGAGAATGCTAAACTTAAATATGTATTTTCGCGATAATAATCTAATTATATGGTACATAAATTCCCAAAATCAAGATTAAATACACACAATCGCTTCAGACTAATTGCAATCTTATCGTTTAAATATAATTGATATTTATGATTATTATTAGACATTTACAATAACATTTGAACACATTTAAACACATTAAAAAAAATTAATAAATTATGATGGTAAAGTATTCATAACAAATACAGTACCTATTTACAGTATAATAAATTGTTTAAAGTTTCACATAATATTTTTCTATTGACAGCTCCTAATTCCGTAGCAAACGTAATAATGATATTTTAAAAATATCTTATTTGATAAATATCTATCAAACTCAATATTAACTTAATAGGTCAGTCAGTCAAATTTCGCAAAACTCTTTGAAACACAATAAATTTATATTAGAGCGAAAAATGGTTTTTTCTTTTATTATTATAATTTATAGTTGCATAATTTTTGGTTTTTTGTTATAATTAGTGATTACCTCAAAAACAAGAGTGAATCTTACAAAACTGAGGCCAGATTTGGTATCAGAAACAAAAATGTATACAGAATTCACTATCAAATTGCTGACCACAAAAAAAAAAAAGTGTTGGCCAGTGTTATCATTGTGGTTGCCGTTTAATGTTTTAAGAAGTCACGGTATGAATATTAATGTCGAATTCATACAATTACACAATGAATGTGTCTCAATAGTCCGTATATTTACCAGTTTTGTTTTTGAAATCTGGATGCATAGGGATCTTCAAACGCGTGGCTGAAAAAAAACCCCGTTAAATTAATCGGTTAGTTTTTATGTTGCTCGATTTTCAAACATCAAACATAATATTTACAAACCTGTCTCGTTAATTGTTCCTGCAACCGCATATTTGTATCCTTTAAGCGCTTCTTTCGGTAGATCTATATAAATTATATGGATGTGAACAAGTATATTTACACAGGTACATATTAGTATTATAATAAAAATAATGTAGGCGTCAAATGAATATATCGAATAGAACAAAAGGAAATATTCGAATAAAAATATTGAAGTTTTAATAAGCTCATCAAACTTCTAGTCGGTTTCCGAATGCAATTGTATTATCGAATAAGTATTTTAAAACTGTTACTTATTTTTTGAGATACAAGAGTAAAAATAAATAAATATTTTTTTTAAAAATCCCATATCAAATACCATATTTTGAATAAAAATTACTTTTAAAACTACATATTATAATAATACACTGTCCATTTACGTAATCGCCAGTATTATAACATTCAAACAAAATTTACCAACGCATTTCCCGCTTAATTTTGTTTTAGTTTAAGTATTCCCAAAGGTTTGACATGACGAGGGCAATTAAAAAACAAACTTGAAATGTCACTTTTAAATCTCTATTAGTAATTATACCGGATGATTATTTTACCATGAACCAGCTATTTTATCGTAGGATGATAAGTGAATTGAATTTCTGTTTTTTTTTTTTTTTTAATTGATTAAGATTGATTGATTTTCTTTATTTTAAATCTTTTTTTAATTTTTACCCCCACTCTATATACCTTAAAAAACTATATATTAAATACGTTTTATTTTCAAATAAGAACCCCCTTTTTTAACACTGATTCGGAGAAAGAAATTTTATTGTGCACAACACTAATATCAGATTTCTTGTTTATCAGTTATACCAGTTTAAAGTTTAGACCGGAAGAGTAGAGAAGGGTAATAAAACCTATATTTATGCGATAAATTGAAAATACTTCCCTACTCCTCAGGTTTAAAACTTAAACTGGTTTAGCTCATAAACGGTAAATCTAATATTAGTGTTATGCGTATAAAAATATCAAGCAAATATTCTCTATTTGAATAAGTCTGTAATTGAAAAAGAGGGGGGAGGGCAATTTATTAATTCAAAATTTTAGGTATTTCATTTTAGGTAGAATTTTAAAATAGTGTTAAAATAATGCTTAAACGATTCTATAATGTTTAAAAAGTTCACTAAAAATTTCTGATTTATGATAAAAGAATCACCTTGTGTACCGTTCAACACGTGTGCGGTTATACTATAATATCAAAATTATTGCAGTTTTTAATTTTTTTTCTGGCATCGCGAGGGAGACAATTTATACATTTTACAATGTTTATTTAAAATCTTTTTATTTTTAAATCACCAGTAAACTTAATTAAATACCGGGTTTAATTTCTCTGGGTACGAAAAAAAATAGTACCTATTCAATAGGTTACCACTACGTTATGTGATAATGAATCACAACCGCAGCACTATATAATATAATCACGATAGATGAGTATATAAAATAAATATTCGGGTATGAATTATATTGTGTATGCACGTAACATTAAAATTTAAAACTTTATGAGTAACGAGAAATTTATGGGTTTTACTATGATGAATGCTTTTGGATTTTTTCATTTTTCTGTCTGTAAATAATTATTTGTCTACTATGAATCTTTCATTAATCAAAACATGACAAGGGACATTTTTTGTTGCATCTTAGATTTAGTTATGGTCATGAAGAAGGTTATTTTTTTATTTTCTTATTTTCATAATAATTATTAAAAACCAAACAACAGAGTTAACGATATCATATTTTACATTTTTACGATTTTTGTTTTTGACTAGAAATCTTAGTTTAAATAAATTTCAAACATGATATATTTTCTAAAACAAAATTTTGTAAGTTAGTGTGTGAGAAAGAAATGTTTTGATTTTAGAAAAAGTAGTATTTAATTAATGATTATTAATTGGAAGGTCGTGTTTTGAGTTTTCATGTAGTTTTCTAAAATAATAGGGAAAAATCACAGGAAAAACACGCAACCGAGAACGGTTTCATTACTTCTACTATTTATTTGTTTTGTTGTTTTTTTTTTTTTAAATATAGTTTGGTTAAATATTCGTAGAGATCTAAACATTTGAAAATAATACTTATCATATCATTTTCTAGACGTGATAAAATTGTCAATATATTCTAATGGTTTTTGTTATAATTAGAGGCATTTGACATTTTTAATTTTTTTGAGTGTATTTAGTAAGTATTATGGAGAGAACAATTATTTGACCATAAATAAACGCTTAAAAATTAAACATAAGGTCCATTATTAGTTGTACTTAGTGGCAAAAAAAAAAGAAAGTTAAGCGTAAGTAGTAGTAGTAGAATAAAAATTCTAAGTAAAGTTCGGTTATACATGTTTTGAAAGGCCGTAATATGTACGAATTTAATTAAAATTGTATCTTAAACCCATTATAAATATAAAAGTACTACATCATACTCTCCTTTCCTTTTCCCTTTAAGTACAAATTTAATGAATATTCTGGATTTGAAAAAATGGATTTCTGTTTAGTTAAATAATTATATCTACATAGAACCTAATAAATAAACATGAACATAAAAATTGATAAAATGTTTTGAATATTTTACCTAGAAAAGACTTAGACTAGATAAAATTTTTTCTCAATATTTCAAGGTAGCATCTACATATAATTTTGACTTAATTATAAAAAAACAAATAACTAAAAATAATGAAACCATTAGTTCCTTGAACTTTCCATTTCTTTTATGTTTTTTTTTACAATTTTGCTCAATTATTAAGAAAACTACACTGAAAAACTAAAAGTTTCTTACTTACTTTTGACTAGATTAAAATCCAACAAAAAAAACTAAACTTTTGTATTTCTATTGGATTTTTATACAAATTATAAAGCATAAAAATTTAAAATAATGAAATTTAAACACCATAAATTTGTGTTAGTCTTCATTTTACGTCTTTTTCTGGTTTTTCACAATTATTTTGAAACAGGCTGGAAAAATCAATAAGCGACTAACTTTCTCACAAACTAAATTATAAATGTAACAAAAAAGATCTTTGTCATTTTTTTGTTTAAAAGAGGTTTCTGTTTAAAAAGTTATTTAAGGACAGAAAAAATTTAAAAAAAAAAAATCAAACATCATAGTAAAATCAATCGATCCCTTACTCCAAAGCTAAAAAAAAATTTAAACAAATTTAATAATAACAGAGATATTAGTAACACGTGTGTGTTCGTTGTAGGAAACATTTCCTCAGTTATCTAGTATTTTCGGTTACATTCTGTAATAATTTAATGTAGGTAATAATGTAAGACTAATTTAAATTTTATATCAACATTAAACGATCAAAATCAATTTTGTTATTCTTACCTAGGCCAAAACATTTCGGACTCATGGATATGTCATCTATGGCTACATCTCCTTTTTGCGACATGAATTTTCGTGCTTCAAATTGCAAATAATAACTGAAAATAAAAATAATTTTTTTTTTTTAAATTTATTTTAGCTAGCACATCACACTAGATAATATTCAAAAAACCAAATATATATTAAATAACTGTATAAATAAAAGATGCAAATTTCCAGTCTGTGGAGAAGGTTTGCCTTGCTGAAACCTGATAAAGACTCAAGTGAAGTCAAAAACTTTCAACCTATCTTTCTCCTGTATCACTAGTTTAATCACTAGTTTAGTTGGTGAGAATGGTTCTTCAGTGTATATCGGCCTACATGTATGAGACCCTCATTAAGGAACATGCAGTTTTTAGACAGGAAGATCATGTTGTAGACAAGTTCTAAACCTGACCCAGTCTATCGAGGATAGTTTTTTAAAGAGGAGAAGTGACCGACGTTAATTTTTTGGACCTCAGCGCTGCGTATGAAACGGTCAATCATAAACTACTAACCAAAAAATGTAATAACAAAGGACTAGATACTCTCGCTAAGTTAACAGGCCAACTAACAGGCTCGTCGTGGGGGCTCAACCGTTTTGTTCTGCGTATTACAGGATTAGTATGTCGGCAGTGAAATTAGCGACAACGACCTGGAGTTGATCAACACATTCCAAACAGGTATTGCTGTGAATGAGACCGTGTCCATCACTACTGAATGCCCTGAGTCAACTGCTATTGATAAACTATACCCTATTATAAAAATAGCAACACCAGCCGTCCAGAAAAAAATGGCTGCTGAAATCGAAAGAGCAAAACAAACAAATGACCCACGACACCCAATTTATGAAAACATACATCAAATCCCGTAAGAGCTTCATGGAATTTTTGGAGGAGCTCATTATCAAGTTTCAAGATCAGCGGCTAGCCTTGTAGAAAGACAAGATCCGAAATGCCACAATAGAATTATGAGCGAGAGTGCTACTGGTTTCACACTACTCTTTACGACATAAAAAAAAACCTTAATTGGTTAAGAACGAGAGTAAAAAAATATAAATCGAACCTACTGAAGTGAAGTTTCAGCGTAAGTGATAAATGTGGTTGTGGAGCAATATAGGATTTTGATCACTTTTTTTAACTGCCCAAACATGTTTACAACCTGCTCTATAGACGTTATTCGTACAGATAATAACAAGGCTATCTAGTTGTTTTATATATCTGTGAGAAAACCAATTCGCGAATTTATCGGACATACTACGCATAAGAGCAATAAGTTATCCAAATTTGTTTCTATTGACATTAAACACGTAATCATATACTAAGTATAATATTGCATGCAAAATATTTAAAATATGAAATTTTCACGTTTCTCGAATGCGATAATAAACCCTGCAAAAATGGTACAATTTTGATTGCGATAATAATTATTATTTATAATCACCTCTTAAACGCGATAAACGTCAATAAAAATATATCCCTCGTAGACATGATTCCGTAGAAAAATTTAAAAAGACGTAGACGTTAATAAAAAATATTTTTTCATCATATAATTTTTTTTACATACTTAATATTGGCCGTTCATTTATAGTCCACTGTGGATTATGAATGCATTCGAATATCTGTGTTGGTAGGAATTTATTTATTATTATTTTTTTTTGTTTCGTGAAGTAAATTCTTGTTCACGGACTCGAATAAAAAAGCTGCCACGAGAGAAGAATTTAATATATATAGTTAAAAATATTATAAAAAACCTTTTGCGAGATATTAATTGAAAATAATGTTATTTTTTTTTTTCGACGCCATGAGACGCAATAATATTTCTTTCTTTTATCAATGCGGTTCTCGGTTTCTCGATATTATAAAATTTAATTATTTTACACTAATATTGAAAATTTCGATTTTTAAATTTAAATAAATTTTAGCTGAAGGTCAGTCGAAAATTTGTGCAATTGTAATTTTTTTATTGATCTAAAAATTATTTGTCTATATTTTTTTTTAAATAATATTATTATACGACAAACATTCAGTTATAAATATTTCTCGATAAAGTCGTGATGACATGTGTTCGCGGTGGAATGTAACTATTTCGAATAAATAATACTTGTTTTATTTTTTGTGATATAATATACAGATGGACGTTAAATAATATCAAGGCCGAGTGTATAGTAAAGGTTATACTTCGGTGTGCATCACGAACGAAAATGTAGTTTTTTAAGTTAGTTTTTTTTTATTGTATAAAATTGATAACCTAAGGCGAAAGTTGAATAATTATTTTTAAAGAATAACTATGCCATCTGAATAGCACGGTCGGTATGTGTAAACCATAATGATAGACAAACTACATGTGTTCTCTACCCATGTACCTACGAGTTTACCCTTCCTTCTATTATAGGACCCGATATTATTGGACATTTTTATTTTCCCGGAATGAAAATACGTAAGTACGTATATAATTTACTACTATTTACACAGATATATTATAAAATAATTACAGCCAGGGAATGAATTTCAACGATCAGATATTATAATACTATAAATTAGAAATAGAAGACTACCATGGGTCGCGTATAATTGGAGAAAAGAGGACTAACTTATTAAAATTGTTATTATAAAAAAAATCCCATTGGTTAAATTATAGACCGTGTTAAAAGTGGAAAGGCCGGGTAATAGTTAAGATTTCAATAAGTAAAATAAATATAAAATACTTTAATTATTTTCAGTTGTCTGATAAAGAAAAGATAACAAGATTTTGAAAAAGTTATTTGTTCTCATATCAAATTATGCAAAATATTTCCGAAAAATTGGAAAAAAATCTAAAATTTCAATCATTGAATATCCATCGTGACATTAAAGTGCCTACCCACGACATCAAAAACAACTAAAATGAAAATTAACATACATTTATAGTTATAAATCATGATATATTATTATACTACGATCTACTGATATAATGTTATAAAATAGTAGTTTGTAAAAAATTGATAGTTTTTTATTTTTGATATTCGGTATAGAATATTTTTCTTTTAATATCGTTTTTTGATAAAGTTTAAAAAAAGTTGTATAGCCTTGCGTTAAACGAAAATGATATTTATTAAATCTACATACAAAAACAAAAATTCAAAAACGTTTTCCAACGATGAAATATATACATGTGTTTGCCAGAATTAATTTTTAGCCAGAGAGATTTCTGACACGACAGAATATAGACCCACAAGTAAATTGATGGACTCTATGGTCAAATTTTCACTGCGGTAAGCATATCTCGGAATATTGTATTTTAAAAGGATGATTTTCAGTAAAAAGACCTGTCCGGAAAACCATTAAACCACACTGTACTCAAAATTAATTGTACAAAATAAAGTTTTGTTTTATTAACTCAGATAAATAGTTTTTAGAATTCATCACACGGTCAATATACACCCGGTTCACAAAAATACATATTATTATAGTCTACTTTTAGAAACGGTTATTTCCTCCTTTGCTTCTAACCGTATGTCGCTTGTTGGTCTAAAGAATACAAAGAAAAACAAACGTGTATAGGCAGAAGTAAAGTAAACTATATAGATAGAGTTTACTTTATACAAAACAAAGTAATTTGGTTAATAGGTCAGTTTTTATGTCGACGACATAAATAATGAATTTGGTTATATTGTAGTCGAAACTATAAAATTATGACTTACTTTGACGTGATGTTTTCTAAGTAAACGACGGCCCGAAGCCACGTGTTTCCGAAATTTCCAAAACTCCACCACAGCCTTCGCATTCGGTCTGAATCGCCGTGAGTCTCGACTACGTATAGCCCCAATGAACCACTATGCGAACCGTATTTATGGTAAAAAAATGATATCTGAAACATCAAAATACAAATAATATTAATTAAATAATTGTTTAGAACATTCATTTCTTTTTTCGTTTTGAATGTTTAGGTGGCAACAGTGGTACACCCATGATAGGGGGGGGGAGAGTTGTTCACTGGTGATTTTTATTTTTAAGATTTATTTTCTCTACTACTGGCATATATAAAGATAAGCTTAATTTAAAATTTACCCATTTCTATTTCCAATTAAAATTTAATTTAAAATGTATGTATTATGTACATACAATTAGCTGCCCCACATGGTCTTTATAAAATAAGTGCTCGTACAACTAACATAACAACTAAATATTTAATTATTAAAAATCTCCATTTATGCAATATTTTTGAACGTAAAAGCAACTATATCTGCTATAATATAAAAGTGAGATACATAATATTGTCGTGAACTTTTTTAAATGGCATAAATAAGGGAGGGGGATGGGTATCAGGATGTTAAATATCCCTCCATTGACCTTTTTTTTTTTTTATTATTAATGCATTATGTACATTACCAGTATCAATTACTATGCATGAATGCAAGTTCTATGTATTCTAATTTAAAGTGGATCATAAATTACTTCCGGTATACGATGCCAGAGAACAAACATAACATATCTAATAAAAGTAATAACTAAATATTTTATTCATTCAAATCGATTTAATGGATTAGCCATGCTGGCAGTTTATAAACATGTACCAATAGACCGAGAGTATGTAAAGATACTGAACGAAATTATTCTGAAGCCAAAAAAAAATAGATAATATCTACTTGTGTTACTGATGATATCCGTCAATATAAATTATATAATAAATTTGTTTGATATTAATGTCTAAAATTTCTATCTACTAATTGTTTTCCCTATTATTATTGTTTCAATTAGCTCATATATATCAGGAGCGTCTTCAGACCTTAACTATGGGGGGGAGGGGAAGCAAAATAATAAAATTTAATATTTATGATTGATAAAAAAAAAAGACGGACATACTTCGCACGGTGGGTGGACACTGTTAATTGTTATAGATGAGAAGTTGGGCAGGTAGGATATTGAAAGAAACTTTAATGTATATATATACTTAAGCAAAATTAAGCATTGCTAACAAAAACGATTCTGAGTGGAACTCGATTAATATTATTGCTCAGGGGCATTTTCGGATCAATTCTACGGGGGGCGGGGGAC